AGAATCATTCCCTTGCCTTTTTGAACTTCTGGAGGCTTTCACATTCCCCGGCCCCTGCCCCTCCTCCATCTTCAAGCTGGCAGTGGTGGCCTTACCACATTGCATCACTCTGACCTCCTTTTTTGCCTCTTCTTCCAATTATGAGAATCCTCATGGTTATATTGGCCCAGCCAGGTAATCCAAGATAATCTATTTTAAGATCAGCTGATTCACAACCTTATTACATCAGAAACTTTAATTCCCCTTTGCCCTGTGTAACCTGAACATTCACAGGCTGCAGAGATTAGGACGTGGACATTCTGGTGAGGTCTTTATTCTGCTTCCCATGAATGCCGCACTCTGAGTGAGGGCTGTCGATTAGATAAGGGTGTTACATCAGTGGGGATTTCCTGATTTTGACAATTGTACTGTCGCTATGTGGGAAAAGTTTCCTGTCTTCAGGAAACACACATTGACGTATTTATGGGTGAAGGGGCACCACGTCTGCAACTTTAAACAGTTCTCCCCCACCCCTCCACAGACAGCAAGAATGAGAGCAGTCAAAAAGCAAATGCAATAAAATAGTAACACTTGTGGAATCTGACGAAAGAGTATTGGAGAGTTTTTTGTACTATTCTTGAAATTTTTCTCTAAGTCTGAAATTATGTAATAAGAATAAAAAATTTTAATGAGGTCTTTGAGTAAATTTCTTATTTCTAATAAATATTTAAATCTGTGTCATATTATGAATGACATATACATTCTGATAGATCTTTAAAAATCTCTTTTAAAACATTAAGGACATTTTAGCAAGTTGTTTAATGACTGATTTGCAATTAACTATGAGTAAGTTATATACATGGGGCAGTCCTGAGTACATTATGAAGGTAAAATCAATTATTTTGGACTTGATGTTCCTGTTACCCCACAGTGTGGGTATTAATGTTGAGTATTTTCATTTTCTGTCTTAAAATTCAGTATTACTTTTTAAATGACATCTAGAAAGGTATTTAAAAGTAAGGCAAAGACTGTATTTAGTTAATAGTTTTCCTTCAATATTAATTTCTTAGTTTTGGTAAGTGTACCATGGTTATATGATGGGTTAACTTTAGAGGAAGCTGGGTGAGGGTAAAGCTAGATGAACAGGCTTCACATTCCTTATCCCTGAGCCCACGTAGGGGGAAGAGAAAGGGAGGGAGAAACCCAGACAGGAGAGAGAAGTGGAAACTGTGAGGTGCAAACGGCCCAGGCTGCTTGAGGACCATCGGGTTCCAAGTAATAATTCTGACACTAACTGGTTCTTTAGTATCGGGCAAGTTACTAGTATTTTTAAATCCTGTCTTTTTTTTTTTAACTGAAATATAGTCAGTTACAATGTGTCAGTTTCTGGTGTGCAGCATAATGCCCCAGTCATGCATCTACATGCGTATGTTCATTTTCATATTCTTTTTCATTAAAGGTTATTACAATATATTGACTATAATTCCCTGTGCTGCACAGAAGAAACTTGTTTTTTTTAAATCTGTTTTTATATACAATGGTTCCTTGTGCAAATCTCAAACTCCTAAACCCTGTCTTGGTATCTCCAAAAAAAGGGATTTGAAGAAGCTTTTGATAAAATATATGTATATACGATACAAGTTCTTAAAAGGAAAATGGATCAAAACTATGAGAGAAAACGAGGCAGCAGCTAACCTGGTGGCTAGGGAGAAGGGGCAGCAAACCACAGCTTGCATTTTCTCAGTGGTCAAATGGAAAGCCTCATCACAGGAGGGGCAAATGAGACGCCCAACATGCAGGTGCCTTTTAAAACATGGGATGCGATGCGCGCTACCTTGACGGCGCTAGTCCTTCCTGAACCCCTCAGAAACTTAAAGAGGGCAGGCAGCCTATCTGAAATCTACGTGGCAAAAACTCACCTGTGTGGCCAGGTCTTCACCTCTGGATCTGCCCGCCCGAGACAGTGCAGAGAGCAGACTGTCTGAGCCAAGAGGGATCAGCAAGTTGTAACACAAACTTCCCCAACCATGCTCAACATGTAATCACCCAAATCACAGCCGTTGCTCCCGAGCCGTTATCTGGGACGCTGGCTCAGCAGCCCAGGAACGTGTAATCCCCACTAGGGCAGCACATCTTCCCCAGACATTCCTGCTCCTGGCTGGACTGGTGCTTACTCTGCACTAACCTCAACCTGGAAACCATGCTCAGGAGGAAAGAAGGGTTCATGGAAGAAATGGCTGGGATTGTGGAACAGAGTAAGGAAAATCAGGATCGTACGCATCCTAGAACCCAGGCAGTGAATACTCAGAGCGAAATGGCACCAGAAGCCCTTAACGCTAGTTGCCACTGTGCAAAATTTGGTGATTGCGTTTAGTTTCCAAAATGACAGAGGATCTCGGGATTCGGGCAGGCACCACGGGATGGGCCCTAAAAGCATCCGTCTAAAGCTCAAGTAGCATCCTGTTGCCAGACATGGCGGAAAAGGGCTCCGGGAGGATGGAAGGGTGGCCCTCACGGGCACGACGGGGCGCCTGTCACGGAGAAACGCGCTGAACACTCTCACGGGAACGATGCTGTAGCAGGGGGTTCCATTCTGACGTGATCAGAGGCCTGATGCTCAGCTCTTTACAGGAATGAACACAAACTGCACTGAGGTAATCGTAAGTGGTGTCTCTGTGGCCTGCACTGCCAGGCTTTCTAAGGTAGGAAGCAAACAAAACACCACCCAAAATGTTGAAATCGACTGGGGCCATTCCCAGGAGTTAGACAAAAAGAAAGGGGATTCATGTTATAACTTAGGTCAGGAGCCAGAGAGACCTACGGAGGGGACTGTGGGTAAAGCTCACAGACACATGCACACAGAGCACTGGGAACGGCGAGGGCCAGAGGGCCGGGCCTCGTAGACCAGCTCACACCAGCTGCTTGCAAGCCAGGGATGGTCTGTGCTGTGCCGCTGGGTGAAAGACAGTGGCTTTGGTTATTTCCCTGCAAATCCACCTCAGGTAGGAGCGCTGAGGGAGCAGAACGCTGTTGGAAGGAGAGGAGGAGAGAGAGAGGTAGACAGAGAGAAATTAACGAGCACCCACAAGGCTCCCTCTCTGCTCACAGCAGGGAAAAGCAACAGGAGTGGGGGAACAGGACGAAAGGCTGACTACCTTCCTGCCACTATGACAAGGTGAGTGATGACTGCCTGCCTCCTCGCCCTGAGGGTGTGAAATGGGAATGACTAAGACCCTGATCTTAGCGGCTAGCAGGCAGTGGGGCGGGAAAGGTGAGACACACCTGACCCCTAAACACACGCCCAAGGGCCGTGCACCAGGCTGAGGGGGTGGGGGACACAAGCAAGGACTGGACAGTTTCAACAGAGGTAACACCTTGGCCTCAGGCGTTCCTGCACTGGGGAGGGGAAAACGAAACATTCTGGGCAGAGAAGAGTTAAAGTAAAGACAGGGAGGTCTTATAACCACACCTGAAATGTTGAGGTCTCTCTTATTTGAATTCTTATTTGGGCTTTTCTTTGATCTTCTACTAGACATTCCCCTTTCTTAAGCACACGATTGTTATTTAGAATTTCATCTGTCTGGCTAGAACAGGTATCATCTCTCTAGGAGACTCCATACAAGCAGAAGACACTCTGGTTGATGACCCACGAAGGAGCATTCTTACTTCTCACTCCAACTATTAAGACCCACTTCATTTAACCCTGTTTAGTGTGAACAGGCAAGATGACCTGCTGTTCACAGCCGTCTCATTTCTGTTCCCATAAGCTGTGGGCCCAGGGAGACTTGACCTTTCCTTGGGTGGGTCCTTCTCGCCTTACGTGGACGGTGCCACCTGCTTTCCCACCTCGTGACTCACCTGGGTGCCCGGAGGCCTGTCTTCTGGAGACATTCCATTCTGAGCGTAATGGAAGCGGGGCTGGTCAGGGCAGCTTGACTAAGACGCTAGAATGCTTATTTAAGAGGTAAACCTTTGGGGGTATTTTGAATCGCACTGTGCTGATACCAACTTTGGGGAAACGGCTGACTCTGAAACGACGAAAGGAATGAGAACACATTTCTAAAATCCCACCCATCAGGCTGACACAGTAACTATGGAGCTATATTTGCATCTGAATCACATCCTACAAGCGGGTTAAGAACAGGGTATGTAAGAAGGTTGGTAGCCAGTGCCCTCTAAGGCCGCCTGCGAGGACGCCCAGCGGGAAGAGGGCAGCTTCTTCCTCACAGGCGTCCCGGTGACGGTGACGGCGCTCTACGTGCTCGGGAAGGCGGCCCCAGGCACTCACGGGCTGTGAACAGCACCGCGGAGTAAAGCAAGGCCTCGCTGCCGTCCCTGTAGCTCCAAACCTCTCCGCCTGCTCTCCAGCTACTCCAGCGGGGTCAGCCCTCCAGATGGCCTGCTGGTCCAGCACGTTCCCTTACTTTTCCTTCCATTATGTCTGAGAGTGTTTCTCATCATGTGAGGAAGGTACCGTTCCTTTAGCTGATGACATGTGTATATTTAAAAGGCGGAGAGACAGCGTTTTACATACATCTGCCAATTAAGGAAGAGCAAGGGATTTGAAAATAGTCCTCTGCAGTCATTAATCGAGGACTGAGACCACACCAGGGGGTCCAGTGAACTCCGGCCCGCCGGCCTGGGCCTGCTCCCATAAACAGCGGTCCTGGACCACAGCCGCGGTAGTCTGCTGGCTGACTGTCCGCGGCCGCCTTCCTGCTGCAACAGCAGCAGGGCTGTGACCCACGGTGCACGGCCCGCGAAGCCTGAAGTATTTACTGTCTAACTCTTAACGGCAAGAGTCTGCCAACCTCTGGCCCATGCGGGAGCATCCCAACCTGAGAATGGTAAAAAAAAAATTTATATACATATAATAGACGTATATACTCGCACACACGCGTGCTCCCATACTGTTCTCAAGAAAATAACCCAAGGAAGACAGCATTATGAGGAGCTTTCTCTTCACTGCACCTTTTCAGACGTCTTTTATCCCCAGGACCACACTCAGGCCACACCAAGTATAAAGGGTTACAAATATTCAGATTTTATTATAAATAAAACACTGTTCTTTTTTAACATAAAAAATGCCAAGTGTTGCATTTTATTCACCACCCTGGAGAGCAAGACCGCAGAGATTAAGGCAAACAGCTGAAGTGAAGGCACATGGAAAAGGGCCACAGTCGGAATTAAAAGGGAGAACTCCGGGAGCAGCTGCGTGTGCTCCCTGTGACGCCCAGCGTTCTGCAGCGGCCACCCTGTCACTTTCATCACATAAGATACAGGTAACTGGAACTCTACAATAAAATAATGGCTATATTGCAGGAGTGTAATTAAGGTATCGTCTTATAAAGAACTTTTATTTTAAAAATAAAATTCTGTTTAAAAATACACCACACAGATGGAAAAGGAGGAAAGAAGCAACAAGGACAACCGACCGCCCAGGTTCCCCTGTGGCCTAAGACTGATGGGAGTAAACCTGCCCCCCAGGCCAGGCGGAGAACCGCCGGAGCCGTCTACCTTCCGTCCTCTTCCCGCAACCTCCACCAACACGTCTCTGTTAGGATGTGGCCACGTAACAGGAGGAACGAGCTAGGAAACACTGATGTGAACACTTGGCAAGAAAGAGCCCTGCCTCCTGCGACGGTGGAGGAGGCCGGAGAGGAGGCGTGGAGGGCAAGCTCAGGAGGATGCCAAGTCACAACACGGGCGTCAGCTCCGGCAGGCATGAAGGAGACGGGAAGGGGACGAGCTGGGAGGGACCCCCCTCCCGCTCCCACTGCAGCGGGACCCCTGATGCCCTGCAAGCGCTCAGTCAGTACACACCCCCTTAAAAAATGACCCATCTGGCTCCAGCAACTGCCAGAAAGGACACTGCTAGCTCCTTCCTGGCTAGACTCGCCCCAATGGTGAAGATGCCCTTCAGCGAAATTTGCTAACTCCTTCACGCCCTGTCATCCCGGCTCCAGACCAGGCACGGAGAACAGCAGTGTGTGTGGCTGAGGGAGACCAGGGCTGCAACGGCAGACGGGTCGAGGTACCTCTTCAGAGTGGCTGTGTGTGGCGGAAAGGAGGCTGATGCGGACATGCGGCAAACACAAGGCGGAGAGCAGAGCCGCGGGGAACAACCCAACCCGAAGAACCGCAGACGGAAGGGAAGGAGGTACAGACACGTTGTGCCAGTGAAGAAGGGGACAGACAGTGCCATTCTAGAAACAGGACCAAGTATATTTACATAAATTCCTTACTCTATAATCATGATAAACAACAACAAAATTCACACAAAAATATAAATTTGAAATAATTAATAGCACCAGTGTGTCAGATAATAGTTTCTTTCCCCCCCGCTACGCAAAGTACAAAGTTGCATAGTGTTAAAGGCTATATGTGAAACTCAAAGGCGGGCTGCTCGGAGGGAGGGCCTCGTGGCAGGGAACCGTCACGCTGTGACCGTAGAAGGAAACCCCAGAGCTGAGGATCAAAGGTGGAGAAGCCGACTAGGACACGCCACGTGTGGGTCTTCCCTCTGCACTCGGAGGGGAGGCTCAGAGCGGGCTTAAACCACAAAGTGCAGGAACTAGACGGTGTTGGCCGCTGTGTGAAACACTGAGTGCAAGTATTTGCCACCAGGACTCGGCAACGTGTTCTGAGGGATTCTACGAGATGGGAACACCCGGAGAAAACTGAGGGGAAGGGTCAAATGTTTCATCTCTCCCCGACGGAAAGAACAATGAGGATGTGGGACCCCGACAAGACAAGGTGCATCTAAGGTCTACCCCTTTGCTAGAAAAGACTAGGACGAGGAGGCTTTTCTTCTGTTTTGTCAAGATCTCGGGGACCAACTGTTCTCTGCCAGGTAACGACACTAGTTCTGAGACTAATATACTAAAAAAGCTCTAAGAATTCGTTTGACTTTGAAAAAAAAGAACTTTAGTGGTTATCACATCCCTATGTCTTCTGTATAGATTCCATTTACAGGCACAGAAGATGTCTATTGGCGAGCGCAGACCGCCCATCCAGATTTAAATTATCAGCTGCCCAAAGATCTGAAGAAAGCTTATCTTCCTAGTCAATTAGCAACATCTGAGAAGATGTTCAGCCTACTTCTGCAGTCTCGTGTCATCCTGGAGGCTGTCATAAATCATTGCATCCTTACCCGTGGATGGCTCAGTGTCCTATACTCAAAATAGCTCGAACAACTGATGATGGCTCTTGACATTCTAAATGACCAATAATACCTTTGGCACAGGACGTGTATTTCCTTTTGCTTAAAAGGAGGAGGGGTGGGAGATGGAGACGCATTTCCTTTCCCTGCGGACTGGATATACTGGCCATCACAACGCGACTGTTAGTAGCCAAGCTCTTCCTTCATAGAAACGACAGTGCTGAGGCTGAGTTCTGCTGGTATCAGTGGGAGAGGGAGGGCTACCTGCTCAGCCCCGGCGGAGAGCGGCTCCCACGGGGTGCTGAAGCCGCTGGGCAACGATGCAGGAGGCCGCCCAGACGTCCTCGTGCGACGCAGAGGGGAAGTGTGGGGAAGAGGGGGCGCCGTGAGGGGAAGAGACCTTATTAGATAAAACCCTTTGTTCCCGATTCATGCTGTTTAATGTGCTTCTCTTTAAACTTTGTGACTTTTCCTGGTTCAAAAGGACAGTGGTGGAGAGCAGCAGAGAAGTGGGGGTCTGGAAAAAATGTAATCTTTGTGTTAAGGCACTCTGTGGCCTCGCGACGGCTGCCCGGCCGGGGTGGCTGCCCTCCAGCCCGAGCGGAAGCGGCTAGGGCTTCTCGATGGACGGGGTGTTGAAGCAGCCGGAGGGCAGCGTCTTCCTGATGTCCTCCAGGTTGCGGATGTCCTTCAGGATCTCCTCGATGTCTCTGTTGTAGTCCATGATGGCCGCCTCCTGCTTCCTGGCCTCGTCCTCCAGGTTGGACACCTTCCTGTCTAGATCACTGACTTTCATTTCATCTTTGGCTTTGTTCAGGGTGCCTTCGATCTCATTTAGCTTGTTTAGGTCCACTGTGTCCAGCTGCCCTGCAGCGTCAGAGAGGACACGGAAGAGGACAGACGCGTTCAGTACGAATCACATCACCGCACAAGGACCTCCGCCAGCCTCGTTTTAAAAGGAAGCCCAGCACCTGCCACTGCACCCAAGTCGCCCGAGAACCTGACGCCTGCCATACGAGGGCACGGACAACGCAAACCACGTACGACACCGACCTAACACAGCAAGGATGGGTCAGAGCATATGCCGAATACGTGAACATTGGGGCTGGATTTTTTTTCTGAGAAAATGGTTTTTGTGAAATGTTTTCTAAATAGACAGCTATCACGTTCCAGACCTTCAGCCTCACTTGTGGTTTTGAAGGTCAGTTGGTAATGTTTAACACCTTTTTCACATTTATGTATGCAATCTTTGTGCCTTTTTAGTGCCGTCTAAGGAATATAAAAATCTTTGAGCTAGAACCCTGAGCCCTCAGCTCTAGACTGCAGAGAAGCTGGGTTGTTTTGGGGGTCATGTCCTGCTCCTGGGAGTTAGACTTCATTATAGGAGCCCTCCTATGGAAAATGGCCAGGGTTGAAATGCTGAAATAATTTCAGCAAATTTTTAAAGCTTTGCTTTAAAATTAGCAAGAAGAGGTTCTTTTAAGAGGAATTGCTTCTATAGTAAATGAAAGCAGACAGCTAGCTGCCCAGAGACCAGCAGTTTATGCAAACTGTACTTGATTAAATTCTCACAAGACCCTTTCACATCAGTGACTCTCAGATGTTAAGTAATTTGCCCCAAATTTTCAACAGCTTATAGGCAACAAAGATTCCAACTCAAGTCTGACTACCTTTGAAATTCAGCTTTTTCTGCCATAGAAAGCTACCTCTTTTAGCTTACTTTCATTTTAAAATCCATCTGCTGGCATATAATTTCTTATTCTTGACAATTAAGACAGATAAAAAATCACCCCCCCCCAAAAAACCACTCCCACAAAACACCAGCCAAAGCCAAACATTACAGGCTAGTGCATTGAAACAGAACGCCTCGCCGCAGCCCTACCGGCTGGAGGGCTACGACTTTGCAACTTTGTGACGAAAGCACCCCTGCCCTGTAATGAGGCCCGCTCCCTGTCCACCTGGACTAAACGGACACTTCCATGTGCTTCCATTTCCTTCAAAAAGAAAGCCTCTTCTTTCTTTTGGCAGAAAGACTGTCCCCTCATCAGATTATCTTCTAATCAATGACCCTTTACAGTATTCTTTTATTCTATCATTGAAATCCACTTTAGATCCTTATTTAAAGACATGCTGTCAGCAGGATGAGCTGAGAGTCATCCCTGCTCATTGTATCATAAACCTTGGCTGTAAATGAGCCACCCTGGCTGGCAGCGTATTTCCAAAACTGTATTAAGTCCTTGGACCACAGATTCCAATACTGAGGTCAGATTCTGCGAAGGACCTAGTAAGAACTTACTGAATTATACAATTTAAAGACACAATTCAATTCGTGCAAACCTTTACACAATAATACCTGCTTTTGAGTCAACTGTCTCAGGTCCCAAGAACAGCACAGGGAACTCTGAGACTGCGTGAAACGGCTCTGAGCACTTACCCAGCTGCTCCAGGAGGTCAGTGACAAGGCTGAGGAGGCTGGTGACAGAGCTCTTGGCCTTTCTGGCGTTGACCTCGGCTTCCTGAGCGGCCTGTGAAGCCTGCGCAGGAAAAAAAAGGTTAAGTGATGCAGGTCGTCCTGATGGCACGTTCTTGTCTTCTTGAAATTTCCCCCCAATGAGTAAACAAATCTAATTTTCAGATGCTCCCCCCCGCCTAACTCATGACACCATAATCTCTTACTGTAGGTCTTTTGGGGGGGGTGTCCTCACGTCCAGGACGTCGGGGTTTTACTCATACGACAGTCATGAAGGGGCGGTCACTACGCCTGCACTGACCGTTTTTTTATTTCAAAGACCCGTATCTCCTTTTCTCACTTTCTCACTCAGGCATAGATGGAGGTGTGCATAAAAAAACCCATCAAGCAGAAACAGGTTATTTTTTTAAGGATGTGTATAAAAACTACATTTTAAAACCAAAGCATGACCACCAGGACACTGAGGGACTTGATTATTGGAAATGTCCTGGTCTCAGATAATTTTCATAATTATGTGACATTCTTCTACAGACCCCTCTCCCCCTGCAGCCATACACACACACACACCACACCACACCACACACACACACCAGTAATACAACTTACATTTAACAAATCACCCAAAGGTAAATACATTTGGGAAAATTCCGTGAAAAAACTTGAACAAACACACTTGTGCGTGAGTCACAGGAAACAGCGACGGACGGGAAGTGTCCAAGCATCAGAAAACAGACGCAATCACAAACAGTCCTGGTCATGAGTGAGTAGCTCTGAGCTTCCTACCACAGAGCTGTTGCTCCTAGTTCTCCGGGTCAAGGCAATGCAAAATTTTTGGATAGAAACAATGCGAAGATTTTCAGAAGGAAAAGAAAGCGAGGGGGAAAATCCTTCACATATAAATAATTAACCTCTGTTCAAATCTCAGCCATTCTCCCTGCGCCGTCCCCGGCTGCCTGCGAGTGCTCTAGGAGAGCAGAAAAGGATGCTGCCACAGCCTGCGAGAGCCTCCCTGTCCATCCTAACCTGCTGCCTGCAGCCTCCTCTTCCAGGAACAACTGGGAGCCTTCACTCTTTCCATTAAAAAAACAAAACAGGTTACAGACTCCAACAACACTGGTGCAACGGTGGCCTTTCAGGACTGATAGTAAGTGGGACAGTACGTGGGGGTGCTCTGTGCTCCGCAGAAGTTACTTACCTTTTGGTACAAAAGACAGATCTTCTTTCTACCCTTGGAATTCAATCCATACCCTTTCCTGAGGCTCACAGAGAATATATATCTTTTCCCTTCTTTCAATAGGCTCTAAATCTAATGTTTCTAAAACGGTATTAAACAATAAAATCAAGAGACCCTCAGCACATATGAAAAAAACACATTTTTACTAGATGGGAATTTCCACTTGAGCCTTATCTTGCTACAGAAAATTATGACAATTCAAAACCAAAAAACCCCCCAAAATACCTAATAAAATAAGGGATTTGCACATCACTGCCCTTGGGACTTCTTCACCTAGATTCACAGGCTTAGTGTATCTTCTCTCCATCCCAAATGACCTACAGTGAAGGGCATGGTTTTTAGCAGGAGTGGAAGAGGGGGGGGGTCCCTTCCTTGCACTGAAAATGCACAAACAGGGTCATGTCTGTCGTTACAGCGACTGCAATCAGGATGAACTGGAAAGGAATATTTCCACTGTGACCCCATCAAAGTCTTTCAAAAGTAAAATATAGATTAAACAGAAGAATGGACTCCAGTCCTTTGCTGGGCATGCGTTCACAGCCAATTTTGTTATATATACACATCATCGAAAAAGGTGAAAAATTAAATTAGATGTAAGCTTGGTATGTTTTGTCATCTTCAAAAACGTCCTTTTACACAAGAAACTGGCCTTTGCCTTTAGGGAGCAAGTTGCTGGGGAGAACAGGAGGAGGAAGGAAACTCACTTTTCTTTCCTTCCTTGTTCCTTTATGATTTCATACCATCTATGAATTACCCATTCAAAAATATAAATACATACTTTTAAATGTCCTAAAACCTCAAATGTGTAAAACAACGCTTTGCTTTTAGCTGAGAGTAGCTTTGGGAAGGAACTATTGTGCAACAGCCTGGCGGAAGATCCAAATTCTCTGTCTTCTATGTAAGTTACTAACCCAGTTCTTGACCAGAAAACACAATGAAAAGCAGAAGTCACTATGAAGGGGACTCTTCTCAGCAAGTGAGGGATCTTCACTATTGAACAGCCTTTACCTTCTGCCCATTAGCACATGTGCCAGAACCACTTACCATCCCCGCCATCATCATATCCTGGTCAGCATCATCTTGTTTTCTCTTCAGCTCCTTTTCTGCTTCCTGCAGTTGTTTCAGCATATTATTCACCTCGTTATCCAGATCTGTAACTTCTGCAAAAGTCCTTTCAGCTTCTGCCTTGGTGCTGGTGGCGTTCTAAGCACAAAATAAACACGTGCTAATGAAAAGAAGCTTTCCTGGGGGGAGGGCATAGCTCAGTGGTAGAGTGTGTGCTTAGCCTGCATGAGGTCCTGGGTTCAATCCCCAGTACCGCCATTAAAAAATTAATAAATAACCTAATTATCCCCACCAAAAATTTAAAAAACAAAACAAAAAAAAAGAGTAAAAACTAAGGATAAAAACGGGGAAAAAGTTATTAAAAAGCTTTTTTTTCCTTTTTCTAAAGTATGCTGCTACTCCTTTAATAATCTGAAAATGGATCAAAGATACGATCCAGAAAGACCAGGACAGTACTTTGTACGATATGTTGACTTATCATTCATTTGGGCTACAAGTAATAGTAATAAAAAATAACATTACCACCAAACATAATAACATTTCATATTTTACAAAGCACTTCCACTTGTGTCACCGAGCTGCAACATTTTAAAATGGTATGTACTTTCCATCACAAGATACTGATTCGACTTTTTCACTTGGATACATTTTCTATTCAAAGCTAGTCCTTATTCTACCTGGCAGTTCATCCCAATGTACAGAAAGACCATAATCCTGAAACATGATCTATTTTATAAAATACAATTAATCCAAGAACCAACTGTTCTAAAGAAACTGAAAAATGTGTGATTCTTACACACTTAATTTGAAAATCAGCTCTGATCTCGCCTTTAAATAAAACAAACAGACTGATCTCTAAGTAAGAGAAAGCCCGCCGAAAGAAATGATTCCGTAAGAGGAGCAGGAAGCATCCCAGCACTGGGGGCTGCGAGAACCCTAGATAGGAGGGGCTTACACACGGCACCGGGCTTGGAAGGAGGGGCCTGAGGACCGTCCTGACTTCGCACTCGGCGTCTTGAGGAACTGTATTTGCTTAGAAAGAGTCTGATTCGTGTGTGTGTGTGCAGGAGGGGGTTCTATGGGTCCCTGAAGCCACCCCGGCTCCTCACAACGCGTAATCCTGCCACTGAGACGTCGTAGAAGTTTGAGAGTAAAGGACCCTCTGATTGATTCTCCCTCCACAATCAGTGTGGTTACCTGCTCTAAGGAAAAAATGAACGAACGACAAGGATGGTGTGATGCAACTTCACTGGAGTCAAGGAAGAAACTTGCAAGAGCTTCTGGGGGGCTGGAAAGAAACTGGAAAATGACTAGAGAAGCACACGTGCCAACGCTCTGCCCCGGAAGAGAGGGGTCCGCACACCTTCTGGACGAGGCTGGCGATCCTCTCCGCCTCATGGGCCTTGTTCCTGGCCTCGGTGGCGTCTGCGGCGGCGTTGCCCAGCGCCTGCTGGGCTTCCCTCGTCTTCTCGTTGGCTTCGACGATGGTCTGGTTGATGGCGGGGATCCTCCTCAGTGCCTCCTCTGCAGCAGTCTTGTTATCGTTTACTCGCCTGTCGAAATCTAAAGCAAGTTCAAGGGCTGCATTCGAACTGAGCTTTCAACAAGCCAAAGGGGGAGCTTTCAGGGAGCTGCCACTGGGTTTTTCTATTTTATGAACAATGAAAGCTGGGGGGAAAGGATGAAAAACAGCATGCACTGAAATCCTAGGAGAACAAAGCACACAGAGCTACGTGGGAGATTCATATGAACGAACGCCTGTTTCTGGAAGGCAAATTCTCACTTGAAAAACTGACTTCCGTGCAGGGCGCTGAGGAAGCCATAGGCTCCACCTCACCCCATGTGGAAAGCTGAAGCTCACTTCATGTTTACTACGTGTTAGGTACCAGCCTTATGTGCTTGCGATGCTGGCACCCTGTCACTTCCACATGTGAGAAAACTGAGGATTAAAGAGGTAGATAATTTTTCCAAGGATTCATAGTAAGTAAGAGGGGGATAAGGGATTCTAACCCAAACCCATGGACTCAGAATCCATACATTCAACCATTATCCTGTAAAGCTTCTGTGTTTACAGCACCTACGTTTATTAGAGGCAAGGCCAAGGCTGCACAGTGAATTGAGCACATTTCTTTTTTAATCTTGGGTGAGGAAAGAAAACACAAAGATTGAGATGCAACTGGCAGAGAAAATTAAAGATAATCTCCACTTAACGCCATTAAGTCAGTTAAAGGCATTTTGGTTACAAGAGTGATCCTAACATAAGAAAAATGTCCCTTTTGGTGGTGGTGGGGGTTCCATACTGAGAGATAGGGGTAAAATGACATGAGCTCTGGGATTTTTCTTTGAAATACTTTAGCATAAAAAAAATTAGGGTAGGTGCTGGGGGATGGAATTAATACAGTAAGAATATTAACTGCTGATCTGCATGATGGGTATATAGGATTTATTATACTATTGTCTTTCATGTTGTGTATGTTCAGACAGTCTCATAGTAAAAATGTTTCACAGAAGAGAGAAAACCACCCTAGTGGAGGACGCACGTACCAACCCCCTCGTTACCTGGCCCCCTCATACCTTTCAGGTTGTTGAGAATGTCATTGGCTTCTTGTAAGGTATTTCGTCCCTTTTTAGCAGCTTCCTCTGCAAGAGCCTTGGCCGCATCCGCTCGGGCCAGGAGTTGGTCGGCCGTCTGCAAACACGCGACAGATCAGAGGGCGAACCCTCCAAGGTAAACCCCTCCTCTCTCCTAGCAGACCAGGCACCTCCAAGCTGCCGACCACCCCGAGCCCAGCCAGCACTGGCAGCGGGGGGCCCTCCTGGAATACTCCGTGCTTCGCTGCTTCTCCGGCTGTGGTAACACTGCAGACACAGCTTACAGCTGGACGCTTTCCATTCTCGCCTCAAGAAATGAAGCCACTTGCCAAGCAAACCAACCTGCTGTTCAGTCTTTCCTTTCTCCAGAAGGTTCTTTACTTCAAATTCCTTCCCTCTCATGTCCTCTCTGAGGTCCTCATAATCTTTTAACTTCTGGTCAATCAGACGATCCAGATCCTCAGCTTCCTTCTTTATTTTATTTGCCTCATTCTGTGAAAAGCAAGTAAAATCATGACATTTCAGGCAAAGCAACTAAACTGATGAAAAGGCAGGCTTCGTATAACTCTGTAATACTTAGTAGGTACTTTAAAAAGAAGGGCACAGATTGAGATATTATGGCCCTTTTATAAAAAATGGAGGCATACTTTACACACAGTGAAATCATAACACTCAGTTTGATGAGTTTTCACAAACGTATTCACCTGTGTAACCAACACTCCAATCAAGAGACAGCATATTTCCACCCAGGAAATTCCCTTGTATCTTTTTCCAGTCAGTTTCCACACCCACCTTTCCGACAACGCAGCTGCCACTGGGCTGGTTTTTATCACCACGGATTAGGTTGCCTATTGTCAAATTCCAAATATGTGGAATCGTAACAGTATGAACATGTCTGGAGACCTAAACCTTTACAGTAAAAACCAAGCCAGCACCTCAGACGTAAGAAGTGATACATTTTTAAACTGAATGTAAAAAGTACACGATTTATAGAGAACCCGGTAGGAAGAGTCACGATTAAAGTGCAGATGAAATTAACTACTACCAGTCCCCAAGTATTTCACTTGCCCCAAAGCTTCCTGATACAGTTCTTTCATTTAAGAGATTCTCCTTTCTTTCGTTCTTGTTCAAAACCAGATAGTGCCTGGGAGTAACGAACTGGGTGTACTGTGCTTTAATTTAAATATATTATAATCTGAATTTATATTCAAGATTTAGGAGTGATGATTCATATCACTAAAGGAGACATTACTATTTAATGTTTATTTTATTTAAAATTTTATTTTTTTTTTAATATATTTTGATTGAAGTATAGACAGTTTACAATGTCGTGTCGATTTCTGGGGCACAGCACAGGGCTTCAGTCATATAGGAGCAGACATATATTCATTTTCATATTCTTTTTAACTACACGTTACTACAAGTTATTGAATGTGGTTCCTGTGCAGTATGAACTTGCTGTTTATCGGATTTTGTCAGAATCCTCCTGCATTTTGAAACGAGAGACCCTCTGCCAGAGAGCAGGTGCTCTGTGAGACTCAGTGGGTCTGCAGATATAATTCTTGGTGTATTTGCGGGTGAGGGCGAGCTGCGCGTCTCTCTGCTCCACGATCTTGGCTCCTGTTCTCTCTTTAATGTTTATAATTACAGGACTTTTCTTTCCAACTTCAACAGGTTCAATTAACATGTCTAAACTAGAACTCAACTTTACCGTGAGTCACTCAGAGGACTGAGGAGGTGACAGAAGGGCCCCTGCCCAGACTGAGGGGTGCGGTGGGGAGAGGGAGGGGCCGTGGGCGGGGGCGCAGTGGCCACCAGCGCCTGCACACACGGGCCGTCAGCCCCGTACCTCCAGTGCTTCCGAGTCCACGGCACTCAGCTGCGCGACGCTGGCGTAGATCTCCACGGCTTTATCCCCAGCCTTCTTGGCCTCCTCGTGTACTCGGGCAGCTTGCTTCTCCAGATCCTGAGAGATGTTCTTTGCTTGTTCATACCTAAGGAACAACAGATGTGATTTAATGAAAACCTTAGTTGCTTTTAGCATCTTAATGTTAACCACATTCATTCTAGTTTAAGTCACTGTGACAGTATTTCCAAAATCTCAAAGAAATGCTATATTAAAATGTTATTATTCAATATCAATATAGCTTAAATTTATATTTCATCTCATCACTTCTATTTATAGCGTATGGTTTACCACATGCTTTCTTATTTCGGAGACCTTTTAAATATTTGTAACTCAAGTATATTTTCTCTACTGACTCTAGGACATTTTTTTTCCTTTTTTCCTTTATGCAGAATTTTAAGCATCATGGCAAGTCTTGTTACCATTCTCTGCTGATGGAGTAACCATATCAAATAAAACCTCTGCGGCTCTGCATCCCTTGTTCTAATTACTGCATCATTTCAAAAGCATGACTAACAAAGAAATCTTACTGCATGGCCTGAATTCACCGGCATTTAATTTTTCGTTGAACCGGTATTACTGACGAGAACAACGGAAGGGCTATAAGCTACTTTTAAATTACACTCACTTTCTATTAAGCTCTTCAATCTCAAATGCTGTTTGATTTTCTCCTGCCAGCGTCCTCAAAAGCAGATTATATGCCTCAGTGGATGTATCATTAGCTGTCATTGCCACCCGTACAATGTCATCAGCTTCTTGTTTATGGCTGCATAACATAAAAGGAAACACAGACCATGGAACAGAGAAAGCAGTGGAATTCAGGTGACGCTTACCTTATTACACACGTGTACTAATGTGGGCAGAGTTCTGCAAGTATTGGAACATCCTGTGAATTTGGAATTTTGCAATCGTTGAAACTGAGGCTGAGTTTTTAAATAGCATTCTGTAAGCTGAGAATGGTATTTTCCAAGAAAATTAATGGCACAACATTTATAAGGAACAAATGTTTGTATTTCTTCAAAAATTACTTTTAAATATAATTAAGAGTAACTTACGTATAAAACTGTGTATGCTAGCAAGAACTTATTTCTCTCAGACACAAATCCAGACCTCAGCTTTTAATCGCTACTCTGGTTCAGTTACTACCTAGTCTTGAAACAGCTCTGACTACTCAGATTTCTCACATGGAACCAAACTGCTGGCCAGGAAGAGCAACTTAACACCAAATGGCAAAGAACATGCCAACAGGGCTCCAGACAAATCGTGCACTTCAGCTAAGTCACCGCTAACGTTTTTGTTTCAGTTCTAAAATTTCGTGTTACATTGGCACACTGCAATATGTGGCCGTTCTTTTTGGCATGATAAATGTTCCTTCAAAATTCATGTATTAAGTACACCGCTATTAATTTATCTCCAAGACCTAATTTTCTTGGGAGCTTTCTGTAATGTTTTCAGCTGTCTTCTGCTAATCAGAAGCTCCAGCTATGCAAACATGAATAATCTATAAACTAAATTACAACAGCTCACACACTCAGATTTACAAAGAACAGAAGGAAAGCACACGTTAAAGCAAGAAGCCAACGTAACTGCTCGGACACTGAGGCTAAAATTCTAACATCAAGTTTACTTAAGCACCCCAGATCCATGAGGTCTACCAGCTGCTCTGCAGTCCAGCCAGTAAACATTTATTGAGTACTAACTGTACGCCAGACATTGTCTTAAGCACTGGGACTTCAGCAGTGAATAAAACATACAAAAAAGCCTGCCTTCATGGACCCTACATTTTAACAACTTGTTTTTTAAAAAAAAAATTCTCTACCTTGATGACCCCTACAATCTAAAGTCTTCTCAAGAAATACCTTACATCTGATCAGGAATGAAGCAATCTGTTTCTTTTGCTGATTTTCAAAATGTACTATGGGTTATTCAGTGTGTTCTGTTGAAACTTAAAAATTAAACATTAAAAATCTAAAACTTAAAAATAATCATAACTGAATTCTACTGAGCTTCTTTATTGTCTACTAATTTTAAGGTTTCAAAATTAAAAACCTAAGTGTTATGGTTTTCCTTAGATGCGCAAACGAAATTTTCCTCCAAACCATCATATTCTAACATTCAAAGTAAATGTTCTAATTTCAAAGCAAAGGGAAGAAAACAGTACCAGGTAGCTGATTACATTTCAGGAAAAAAAGAGCAAACTTTGCAAAAGTGGCTTCTGTCCAAAGTGTCTTGGGTACAGGAAGGGACAACAGGTGTGTATACACTGTAATGACAGCCATAACTCAACCGTTAAACCGGAATCTGGAGGTTACCGTTCAGCAAGCTTCCGCGCTTCCTCTGCCAGGAGGGTCATGTTGTTTGGGTCCCCGGTGGACTCTGGCTGAGTGATCGACTAAAGAGGAAATAAACAAAGCACTAATCTCAAAGGAATGAAACACTTGAATGAAGCAAGTGCCAAAACTGAGTTTTTATTAGGGTTATTTAGCGAAAAAAAATTAAAAAGCCTCCTCTTAATTTCAGAGTTCTTTACTTAATTATCAGCATCCTTGATTGCAGATTATTATTTCTATTTCCAGCAAAGAATAAAGGAAGCTTAAGTTGCCTGGTGCCACAGAAGGAACAAGGCTAGAGAAGGGACCCAGATATCCGCTGGTTTTAATCCAGTTCCTGATTAACTATTTCGGGGCAACTATGAGCAATGTGGCTTTCTTGTTCCATGTTTAGAGACAAATACAAAGACAAAAGGAGTCAACTGAGCTGAAGAAGCACTCCACTGCCAGGAACAGACTTGCTACAAATTACCAGGGGGCCCCCTCCCCTGCCACCACAATCACTCACCACGTTGGCAATGGCAATCTTTGCTTTCTCAAGTTCTCTGGACGCGATTTCAATCAACTGCTCTGTGCTTTCTACCCGGGAACGTGCTTGTTCCGCCAAGTTTCCAGTCTCTTCAATGGTATTCCGGATATTCTGTAAACGGCTAATTTGGCTGGATAAGGTGTTATTCACTCTCTGAAGGCGATCCATCAAATTTTGGTCTACATCTGCAATAGTAGTGCAGAAGAAAGTCCATAAATGATCTGAAGCGGGGGAATATATCATCTCACATGAACTCTGAGGCACTACTTGTCTTTACCATTTCAGACACAGCACCTTTCTGACAAGTCTTCCCCAAGCCCGCTGGCAGAGCTGGTCTGTCTCCACTGCTCCCAGGAGCACCTCTGTGGTTACAGTCAACCCAGGGTCTCCAACCGTACTTAACTGGAGACTAACATACTGTCTCTCCCACTTGACCATGTGTTCCTCTTTCTTACTCATCACTGTACCCCTAGTCTTACACAGTGACCAGCAAAGAGAAGACACTCAAAAAAACGTCTGATGAAGGAAAGACTTTGATATGCCAGCATATGCAAGATTTAATCATCAAAATACAATGTTATTAAAAGCACCACTAGTCCTGAGAGATAGACATTTTTGTCACTAGGAAAAAAAATAGGTTCAAAACAAATGTTGACAGATGGCACATTACATTCATGTTGTATTTTAAACAAGATAGACTCTCGCTGCCACTCCCTACCCCCCTGGCACCTCCATGTAATTTCTTTCAAATTGATTTCTGCTTTTGAATAGTTCTTCAAATTATTCTTTATTAATTACGCCCATTCAACTTACAGCTCATGCCTCGGTCCTAATAAATCAAAAGATAAATATAAAGCCCATGCAAATATAATTATGACATTAAAATTTTCATGTGTCATAAAGTTATATTAATGTACAAAAGACCATTAAGTCAGTTCTATTCAAATTTGAACAGTTCTAATTTCAACATGATGCTCAGGGTTGGCGTCCAAATTTCCCAAAGAATGTAAAAGAGATGGAAGGTCAAACTTAAGATCAATAAGGATGAATACACGTTTGGGAAAAGCAGGGCCACGTGCAAAGTTGGTGGACTGAAAAATTCTCACCTAACTGTATAAAATGGCCCTGCTCAGATGATTATTTAAACAATTCTTTGATAATCTAAGGATTTTTAAAGAAAATACAAAACATAAAAACAAGTTGAAATCATAGAAAATCACTTAGAATTAGGAAGCATGAGTAGCCAATGATGTTACAGAAGCCCCTTCCCTTCGGACCGTCAGGAAGGTACCAGACAGCGATCCCTCTGGCCAGTTCTTTAGAGAAACAACAGTATCCTGAAAGGGGAAGGGATAACCTAAGTGGGACCCTTCAAAGCCTCTAATTCCAAGTGTCTCACTGCAAGACCCAACTGCACCATATCATCTCCTTTCAAGACTGCAGAACAAACAGTTTAAACCAACTTAAACTACAAATGAAGACTGAACAGAAAAATCTTAATGAAGATATCTGGACTCTTGGCTAGTCTGAACCTAAGTAGGAAGAGTCAGTCAGGAGCTCCATGAATCAGGTCTTAGTGGGAAGGTATCTCAACCCCAGTCTCACTGTGGAGCTCCCCAAGCTGTCAGAAGCAGCAGCCCATCATGCACCCCACCTTTCAGGTGGCTCGGGGGAGGTACGGTGGCCAGGGCTTCTGTCAGAGCTTCCGTCCAACAGAGTCACCTGCTTGGGGAGAGGAAAGAGCTTGGGGAGCTCGGAGTAGCCGGGGCTGCACTGATGTGTGAGCCTGGAGGAGTGGTTCCCTTTCTCGCCCCCGACTATGCCCAGGTGCGATGGTGCTGGCGCCAGAGCCGCATGCCAAACCCCGCCTCTCAGGTGAGCTGATCGGCACTGAAGAATGATAAACTCACGTTCAATTCTTCAACGGATATGGCGGGACAGATGTGAATTTGTTGTTACAAGAGACTACATTAATGGAAAAATGTGTGTCCAAGTTTGTGGCTGAAAATGAACATCCTAAAAAAAATCCTACCACTGTTTATATAGAACAAGAAATATTTAAATTCTTATAAATCTATTTTAAGACTTAAAATGTAACCACCACCAAAGCCAAAAATATAAGTGTTTGACCTCTTTTCATTTTTCAGTTTTTAAAAAGCTACCTCATAGAACAATTTCTGGACTCACCTATAAAGATTAAACAAACTGGCCCAAACCAGATACACCGAGTCACTTCCCTCTCCACTTCCCTAATTTTACAAAATCGGAATTCTGTATATCAGGGATATTTTACAACAAGAAACAAGCGACACATTACGTTTTGCTGACCTGTACTCTGACAAGAGGACTTCTCTAACTCCACATGGAGAGACAGTCACACACTTAACAGGGAAGTTGATCACTGCAGGCCCGGGTGTATTAATGTTAACGCAAATGTACTGAGTATCTGGTGAGCACCTGTATCTCGATGATGGGAAACCCCAAAACAAAGATGACCGTGGCCCCGCAGTGAGCACTCTGATAGGAGTCACCTTTTCCTTACTGCTGTTCAGCACAACGCCTGGCATGCTACAGGCGCACAGTAATGCAGAAAAGGGCTTGTCCAAATTTAGAAAAGAAGCTGAATTCAGAGAGTAAGAAATAAAAAATAAAATTTTACAGCCATTTAAAAATCAAACAAATCACTTAAAATAACATTTTTAATTTTCAAAGTTTAAAAAACAGTTAATTTTAAAGTCAGTGTTTTAAAATAGTTTCCTAAATCTAAAGACCACCCTTTTTCTGCTGACTTTCAGTCCCATAAGATAAAAGTACAGAAGACTAATCCATCTAATTGCAAGGACATTAAATATGTGTATAAAGTATAACGTATATACTTTCATATGTTATTAGCACATTTGTTCACTAATTAAACAGAGAATATCATAAGCAGATGCTAATTTCTAATATTTACTTTCATAAATACTATTACATATTTCATAGCTAGCTGTTCAATCAGTGCTTGAAGACCACAATTTTTCCTTAAGAGTCCTTTCTAAGGAAATAAAGCAGTGCGTTAAGATACATGCTCACTCACCAGAATGACCAAAAATCAACGTTCAAACTTTTTGCTTAAAATAATGCACATCCAAAACACATACTTTAAATGGCTTTTTAAAAACTATTTTAAAACACTTGGTAATGGAATGGATTTATAAAATGCTTGGAATTTTAACATCTTATAGTTTCTGGCATGTCAAGAGAATCATTTATGCTTAGTATATCTTAAAACATTTTAAGTTGACAGGCTCTTTTTTACATGTTTAAAAAAATAATTCATATTCTAAACATAGTTTAAAAATTGAGAAATAATTTTATAAAGCCATCTTGAGTCACCCTGAATCAGGAGCCACATCTGAAGATGGACTGTCTCACAGAAACTACCCACTTGTTTAATCATGTGTACCTTTGACATCCTGGGCCTCACGAAGAAGGTCCGTAACCTCTCTCTCTGCTTCCTTTAGTCTGTCCTCGAAGGCTTGATCTGTCACCATCTCATCCCCAGTTCCCAGGTTTGCAATGAGATTCTCTAGCTCCTGGAGTTTTGCTCGGTGATCAGCGACCTAAACATGATGAAGGAAGAAAAGGGAAAGGTAGGAGGCAGGAACATCCCTGAGGAGCACGACAGCACCGCCTACAGCAATCACAACCACAGGCGCCCTCCACAGACACGGAGGTCTGCACACTCCTGCTGCGTCTGCTTCCAATCAGATAATGTGGGTAGTTTTTCCTCATAGAGTTCTCTGGCTTCAGAAGAAAAACTCTCAGGCTGATTCCTCTGACTTTAAACTCTACATGCCGCTAATTCTCCAGTCTTGCCCTCTCCCCTGTGCTTGAGATCACCTCCCTGATGTCTTCACTTGGCTCTCTGATAGGTGTTCTCAACTTCACATCCAGAACTACACCTTTGGTTTTTTCCCTCTTAAATGTGTATTCTCTGAGTTTCCATCTCAGTAAGTAACGTCTCCAGCCACTTTAACCAAAAACCCAAGATCCATCCTCGATTCTTCTCCTTCCCTGTCCTTGCCCCTTCTCGTGCCCTGCCTCGCTGAACGCACATATTTATTCAATTCAATCTGCAGCTCCCGCTTTGCCTCGCTCCTAACCATCAATCTTCACACAGGAGAGTGCTCTTCTTAAAATATAAACGGGATTTGCTAGCTTAAAGCGCTTCAGTGCACTCTCACTAGATGTGGAATAAAACCTGAAGTCCTTACTCTGGGCAACGTGGTACCACGTAAGCTGTCTCTTCCAACCTCTCCAGTCTGATCACCAACCCCTCCCTCCTCATTCAGAGGCTCCAGACAGCCTCCAGCTGCGAGGTGTCCACTCTCCACGCTCCCCTGCCTGGACAGCCCAGCGCCCCTTCTCCCAGGCTTGCTGCTTCTCGTCCTTAAGACCTCACCCGCAGTGAGCTCCCCTACAGGCTTTCTAGAACGTAGCCCTCCCCACTCAGTCTCTGTTTGTATTCTCGCTAGCACTTATCTCAGCTGGCATTTCTTTAGTTTTTATTACTTGTCTCTCAACTGGAACTTGAGTCTTTGGGAACAAGGGCTGTGTCTATCTTGTTCACCGCTTCTCCCCTAGGGCTTAGAGCACCGGGAGCGCCCGCTCAGGGTCTGCTGAAGGAAGGGACGCGTGCACTGCTGACAGCTGACCTTATCCTTCACCAGCCGGTAACAAGCGGGGCATTCCTGGCAGCCGGGCCAAGACCGGTTGTAGAAATAGTTCTCTTCACACTGGTCACAGCGACTCCCCACAAAGCCTTCTCTGCATTCACACCGACCATCGTCTTTGCACTGGAGGGAGACAGACCCCTCAGGATGGCAGTCACAGGCTGCGGAATAGAGGGAAGAGGGCACATGGTAAGGAAAAGGAGGGAAAAGTGCATTTTCTTTTAACTCAGAGTGATATCACTAAGCCAACTGCACTATCATTGTAAGTAGACCCCTTTCGAAAAACAGGCTGATTTAGGAGAATTTAAATGGTTAAATCTGCTTAGCAGAGAAGACAGAATTTTTTTAAACAAAAGCGAATTTTAAAGTAAACTGGGCACCCTTTGGAGGGGGTACATTTCATGTGACTGAATAATTACAGAAATTAGTCTATTAAACTCATCAGTGCCCTTCCCACGCACTTCAGAAATTCATCTCTACACCATTTAATTCTTCTCCCACCAAGGAAATAGAAAACCCAAATGCTCATGCTTATTTTGCATTATTTTATAGTTTGTTTACCCACTTTGCTCTCTGAACAGAGTCAATGACTTATGCTACATTCCACAGGAGAAATGAAGGAATTCAGAAAGCAAAAACCAAACTGTTCCACGGCCTAGTTCCAGGCAAGTGTTTATGCCAAGGAGCAGCAGATGTGGACAAGTAACCGCACCAAAAGGGCCCCAGGGGTGGGAAGCAACTGCAGCCAGTGCGTCAACAAACACATCTGCGCAGAATCCCTCAAACTGCTTCATTATCTGCGCTAAGAATGTGATCGATGTAGAAGCTTCATTAAGGGGAAGGCTCAGTCATCAAGGGGTAATCATTTGGAAAAATAAAAGACTAGAAGAAAGAAAGAATCAGAAACACCATAAAAGAAGACATAAATAGGGTAGTTGCAAAGAAACTGGAGAGGCTTTGAGCCCTCTGAGTTTTAGAAACGGCCACTATTCCTTGCGGGAAGCGTCTATGATGATTTAGGTACAGCCCTGACTGGGAGCCGGGCAGCCTGACCGAGACTGCTCAAGCCCTCCCTGGACTCACAGCTCTAGCTGGAGCTAGAGGAGACCTAGTTAGGGTTCCACGCCACCCACACCCCTTACGTTTGCAGCCTTCCGGTCCAAACCCGAAGTGGTTGCCCTCGCAGAGCTCACAGTGCTGACCGGTGATGCCAGGCTGGCACTCACACTGGCCAGTGCGGATGTCACACTGCCCGTTGGTGGAACCCAGCGCATGGCAGTCACACCTGAAATGAACACATGACATTCCTCAGGTAAGAAAAATAGACTTGAAGCAATCCTTTCTATTTTCCCCCCCTTTCAGCACAGGACTGATGTAATTCGTTTTAGAAAACAGAACGTTAAGGGCTATTAAGACAGCTGTTAAGGGTTATTAAGCCCCTGAGGTTCAAGGAATTTTGATGAGTTCTATTCAGAACTTCTTTTTCTAACCAAATCCACACAAATACCGTTATTCCAGTACTAAAACCACGACGAGTGGCTCTCCAATCTGGCCCCCCATGGGTACTGAACGGGAGCTTTGAAAACATGAATTTCCAGACAGCTGGCACCCTAGAAGGTCTAATTCCAAGCATCTCAGAAAGGACCTTGCAATTTGCATTTTTTAAAAATCTTGCTCAGGTGACTGACGCAGCTGGTGCCACCGCATTCCCCTCTTTCCTCCCACTCCTTAATTACAACCCTCCAGTATATTGACTCTAAGGGTGCCTTGCCTATTTTAAGCACTCAAATAATTCCTGAACAAAGTCAAGCCAACTATGGAATGTAACTCGCAAAACTTCGTCTCTGACAATAAAAAAGCAAAGATTGCTTTGCACCAAAGGCACCGGCCGCCTCACCTCTCGCAGCCCCGCCCGCTCTGCAGGTTGTAGAATCCAGGGTCACAAGCCCCGCAGTCCCGGCCGGTCACGTGCGGCAGACACTCACACTGCCCGGTCACAGGGTTACAGCTGCTCTGCTGCTTCGCAGTCCCGTAGGGGTTGCAGTCGCAGGCTGAGGCAGCAAGACAGGGATGGCGAAAAGATGCACGTCACCCAAGAGAAACAGTCAGGAACAGATGACACGAACAGATTCTTTAGACTTGCACTGTCCAATACAGTGACCACTGGCCACCGGTGGCTACTGAGCACCTGAAACGTGGCCGGTCTGAACTGAGACGTGCCGTAAATGTGAAACACGTGCTGGACTGTGAAGACTTGGTGGGGGAACAGAAGAACATATACCTCAACAATTTTTTTTACTGATTACTTGTTGAGATGATAATGTTGGCTATATTAGGTTAAATAAAACATAGTATTAAAATTGATTTTGCCCGTTTCTCTGTATTTTACCGTGTGTACTAGAAAAATTTAAGTTACGTAAGTGGTTCGCACCGAGGTGCTACTGAACAGCGCTGCGTTAGACCCGACTACGGTAGACCTGGAAAGAGGCCGTGCGATGGGTTCCAAGGATGAGCGAGAGTAACTGTGGCAGAAGCGGGCCGACGGCGGAGTACCTTTGCATTTGTCTGCTGGACTGGGAGCCAGGGGGTTTCCAAAGAACCCGTCTTTGCACCGGTCACAGTAGAAGCCGGCGGTGTTGTGGATGCACTTGAGGCACTCGCCCGTCAGGCGGTTGCAATTGCCGACCGCGTTGGGGTCGATGTTGTCGTTGCACTGGCACAGGCGGCAGAGCCTCACGGGGCCGTCCCTACCCAGAGGGTCTCCGAAGTAGCCGTCATCGCAGAGCTCACATCTCTTACCTGAGAACGAGACAATCTGATGTCATGAAAGAGAGGCCTTGGGTGTCTCTAGTGCTACTGGTTACAAACAGTCTGGAGTCACCATCAGATGTGGGGCACCCGGGTGCAGCGGATGTGGCACCAGCCCAGAGAGCAGGGGACCGGAGCGGCAGTCCTGGCGCCGGGCCAGACCAACAGGGTGACCCTGGACACCTCTCCATTTCCTTACTGTGAAGACAACACCTGGTCTGCCTACTTCGCTTTAGCCGTTTTGAGGATTAACTGAAGTCAAGCACTAAGAGTGCTTTGTAAATGGGTCCGACTCGGGGTTTATGAGCCTCACCAGTCCCAGGGGCGGGCACGTTCATCTATGTCTGTTTCTGTTGATAATATTAAGAAGAATGAAAGATGACTTTTTTTTTAGTTTACTGATTTATTTCTGTTTGGAGGAAGTACTGGGGACTGAACCCAGGACCTCTTGTGTGCTGAGCATTCGCTCTACCACTTGAGCTATAACCCCCCACCACCAAAGGATGACTCTTGATATAACAAATTTCTTACACAACAGGGAGAACAGCATCATTCTCCAAGAAAACAAAAGGCAGGTGCTAATCCTCGTTTGAGCAGTGTCCGCTAGCACACAGAGGAACCTGGCGAGCACCACCTGCTGCTCGCTTCTGTCACAGCTAAGGGAACAGACAGGCTGAGAAACGTGCCCACAACCAAACAGCTCATAGTAAAAGGGACAGAGCTGGAACTCAGGTGCTCTCCACTGTACTAAACTCACTGCTCCTCCTCCCTTTTCCACTTTCCCACCATTATTAGCTCAAGTTCTTGGTATCTCCGTAGCCAGCTGGGCCTGAATTAGCCTAAACTTTTTGTAGAAACAGAGGTTTGCTCGTGTGTTCACCCCACAGACACCAGCTGAGCCTCTGCAGTGCACAGGCGCTGCTCCGGGCTGTCGGGATGATGCAGTGGACGGGGTGGACAGGCTCCCTGCTCTCACCAAGCTCATGCTGCAGCTGGGGGAGACCAACAAGATCACTTCAGACGGGGACACACATCAAGAAGTTAAACGGGGGGCTGGGTACAGCTCAAGTAGTAGAGGGCACGCTTAGCATGCACAAGGTCCTGGGTTCAATCCCCAGAACCTCCTCTAAAAATAAATAAATAAACCTAATTACCCACCTCCTCCTGCCCCGCCCCAAAAAAAGAAACAAACGAGAGCCACATGACAGAGGGACAGGGTTGTGGCTACATTACAGTGGGTGGTTAGAGAAAGCCTCTGTAAGGAGACAACTGGGACAACAACGGAAAGACACAAGAAACAAGCCACTAAGTATCCAAGGGAAGAGTGTTCCAGAAGGGTAAGGTGACCTTGCGGCAGGAGGAAGAGCCAGCCATGAAGGTCCCAGTAAGGAATGCGGGTCTGAATGAAAGTGCAGTGAGATGTCGTTAGAGGGTCTGTGAAGAGAGGAGGTCTGGTTCACATGGGACTGCTCTGGCTGCCGCACGGAGAGCGGGCTGCAGGAGAGCACAGTGAAGCAGGTGAGAGGCGACAGTGGTGTAGGCCAGGGAGGTGGCAGTGAGAGCAACAGCGAACACGCTGGCTGGCTGCTCCTGAGAAACGAAGGAGAGAAGGATCAAGGACAAGCCTAGGACTTCAGCCCGAGCAGCTACGGGGATGGCAGTGCTTTTTACTGAGATGAGCAAGACCGGGGAAAGAGCAGGGTTAGGGATGGAGAAAAATCAAAGCTCCGGCTTGGATTGGCTTAAATGTGGGATTCCTTTCAGCCATCTGAATCCAGATCATGACAGAAAATACTTGGCACATTCAAATCTGCAAGACTTGGGGGCAGTTAACAAAGACACCATCTACAGAAGGAAGGGGAGGTGCGGGGGAGCCACAAGGAGAGTGTAGCACCGGGGGTGGTGACTGCAGGGCCCTGTCACCTCGGCCGCAGAGGGTAGGTGGACAGGGAAGTTACCTGAACTTAAGAGTTTCTATCTTTAAACTTAAGAGTTTCTATCTTTAACAGAGGACTGTCTGGAGAAGGCCATCTGCCAGGAGCTGAGAACTTTAAGTTCACCAAACCACAGGGACCCTACAGAGAGGGGGCCTTGGAATACATTCTCTGCCCTCAGCGTCCTGCCTCCCTCTCTGATCTCCATGTGCTTCCCATCACCTGCACTCAAAATGGAGGCTGCCACTTGATGGAGCACATGTGGGTCTCATCGGGGTGGAGAGAGAAGAATGGATATGGAGGGGCAGATGGAAGGCTTCCAGCCCACCATCCAGGCGGGGCTGCCAAGTAGGCAGCCGGTGCTCAAGAGAGCGAGGTCAGGGCTAATGACAGATTTTGCAGTTGCAGGCACAGAAGGGTTTTTGAAGCCTAAAGGTAAGATTTGCTCACCTAAGGAGAGAATATAAACGACATGAGAGTCCTCAGGTGAGAAACGGAAGTGATCAAAGGAGACCCAAGAGGAGAGAAGAGAGGCAGAAGGAGCCGAGGAGAGGGGAATGTCACAAAAACGTTGAGCAAAGCGAGCAGTCAGTCAACAGCGCCCAGCGTTGCTGAGCGACCAGGTCAGACGAGCACTGAAAACCGACCACCGCGTTTGGCCAGCAGGGCCCACTGACGCGGCAGCAGGAAGCGTGGCTGGGGGCGGGGCACTAGGCAAAGGCACAGGACGCTGAGGGAGGCAGGGCGCTAGCGGCACTGCTTGCCTCCGATGTAAACAGGTTCCAGACTCACCCGCTATCCTTCTCCAGATTAGAATTAAGACAGCATTTCAGTTCCGCTTTTTCTTCAGATAATTTAGCTAGTCTAGATATGATCCATATTTAAAATGTCTTAAAACCTATTTTGAATAAAACTTAATAAAAAATCTGCTGGAAAACCTAAAACAGAGCTACATGGTAGCCCGTGAGAAGCTGTCATTGCAAAGGGTCCTCTGCGGGTGCAGCTGGTCTACCCCTTTGTCTTAGGGTCTCGGATGTAGATACAAGTCCTACTTACATGACCTCGAGTAAGTCACAGACTTCTTTTAGCCTTGGTTTCCCTCATTACCCCTCCGGCACTGGGAGAGGCATCTTTCTTCCCCTTTAGCATCTTGTGTGCATTCCTGCATCTAAACTAACCACACTGTATTAAAATGACCTGTGCCTTCCTCCCCACCTTCAGACCCTGAAGACTAGGGACCATCCTTCATTCATCTTCATATGCCCAAAGCCATGCACTCAAAACAGTTTATTGAAAATAGATTATTCCTAATTTATCTCAAAAGACTGTTTTCAGTATTAACTTAGAAGCATAAGCATACCATGCGTGAAGGTCTCAGTGACTATCAGCAGTTACTCACAGTCTTCAACAGCTGTCTACATGAGAAACATCTTACTTTGTATCTGCGATCTCTACTCATTATTCAACAGATATTTACAAACACATGTGCCAAACATTATTCTGAGACAAAAGTCCCTGCTCTCCTGGAGCTTAAGCTGCAGGTGGAGGAGTGGAGGGGGAAGACAGGCAATGCAGAAATACATAAACATGGAAATAACAAGTTGTTAAAAACTTCTATGAAAAAAAGTACAGCAGCGTATAGGAACATGAGAAGCAATGGCATAATTTTTCACAGGGTCTGTGGGTCTGTGCTGTTTCCACGCAGACCTCTATGTTCTAATTAACGTCCTCAAGCACTGCTATGGGTCATTCCCTTCAAGCCAGGTGATAACTAACAAAACACACACAGCTGACCCTTGAACGAAGCAGGCGTTGACTGCTAGTCAAAAATCCATATGCATGCTGAACACTGGAATTTGACACAACACTGTAAAATGATTATGAATCAATAAAAAATGTAAAAAAAAATCCATATGCAACTTACAGCTGGCCACCTCCCTCTATCTGCAGTTCCTCTGCATCCATGGGTTCGACCAACCACGGATCACAACACTGTAGCACTTACTACTGAAAAAACCCGTGTGTAAGCGAACCCACGCAGTTCTGACCTGAGCAGTTCAAACCTGTGCTGCTCAAGGATCAACTGTGTATTTCACAAGTCCTGTGTGAGAAGCACCTGATTCGTGACTGTCTATGGCGTTTTCTGAGATCTCCCACAGGACACGCTCTCCCTCCACAAAGCACCCCCAGAAGTGTCACTTCACCACTTGTGCTGTTTAGTAAAGACAGGAGAACGACTCTGCGATGCTCGGGTGTCTCAGTTCCCTGTCCAGTGAGACACAGAATGAGTACAGGGCTCACTCATCAGAATGTTCTATTAAGCACTTCCGAGAGCAGACGCTGCCCGTGGGACGCCTACTGCGCGCTGTGGTAGCAGAGTAAAGGGCCCTGAGAACCTGGGGCAGGAGGGCAGGGCAGGGCAGGGCACTCACTGAGAAAACCACCCCAGGGGAGGGACGTTTCAACCCAACCGCACAGAAGAGACCAGAGTTGGCTAAGAAAAGCGAGATCTGGGTAGGAGAGAGTCAGGTCAGCACTCTGGGGAAAGGACAGCATGTGGCAGGCCAGAGTCAGGCACGCTGGAGGGACTACAAGATGCCCAGGAGGGCTGGGGGAGAGTGACAAGTGCAGGGGTGGGTGGTGGGGAACAGGCTGGAAAACTGTCTGTAACAGACCCTGTTGGGCCGCTGTTTTAAAAAAAAAAAAAAAAAGCAGAAACGAGTCAAAAATACGAAATTTTACACTAATTTCTACTCATTTCCTCAACCATCTTCAGCAAATGATTGGATTTCTCCGTGTGGCACTGCCCTTATGCCCAGCGTGGGGGGCCGGGGAGAAGTGGAAGGAGGATGGACCGTCTTCATGTTTCCCAATGATTAAAGAATGTTTTGACGAGACTCAGGAGATAGATTATTAGCTCTGTGTTTTGTTTTGTTTTTTTTTCACTTATGTTCATGTTTTGCAGCATTATCTTGTGACCAAAGAGCTGGTAATAGAGTCAAGGCTGTATCCGAAGCCTGGCCAGAACCTCCCCACGATGCGGAGGCTTACGTCACTGGGAGACGAGGGTCACCAGTGAGCCTCCGTCTCCTGTCAATCAGCACAGGCAGTTCCTTGAGTAGCTAGGAAAGGTCTAGTTTCATGTTCTTATCAAAAATAAAGAAACTCAGAGAATGGGAACAGAGGTCTATCCAAAGCTATAAAAATATTTCTTCCCAACTAAAGGTGATAGGCTCTGATACACTGAAAGGACAATTTAGAGAAAGAATTTAAAGAACTGTAAAACTGTCACTTTACATCAAGAATCCCAGGACAGCCTCACAATCTAAAAATCGAGTTTTGATTCTCATCTTATAATGGAGAAGATATTACAGTGACCATCATCTCTGGAGCCAAAATGCCTGGGCCGAAATTCCAGCTCCTCCGATGACCAGCCTCGGACCTGTGACTTAGCGTCTCTGTGCTCAGTCTCCTTAGCTGTCACCTGGGGACAACAGAAGAAGCCACTTCGGAGGGTTGTGAGGACTGAAGAGGCAGCAGGCGTTAAAACGTTTCGAGAAGCACCTGGCCACAAGCGTGTTAGCCATCATTATTAGTGTCTGATACGCATTTTATGAATCCATAATAAACCTGTTTCCTACAAAACTTCTGCCTACTAGGAAAACCAATCACTGAACCAAGCAAGAAAATCCAAAAAGCTCCAAAGCCCTCCCCGCAAGGTGCCTTTGCGAGAAGAGCAGGCGTACCGGTGGTGCCCGTGGGGCAGCTGGTGCACACCACCTCCTGCGTCTTCGGGACGACGGCACAGCTGGAGCCCCCGGGACACGGGCAGGGCTGGCAGTCCGAGGAGGTGCCCAAGGTGGAGTCCCCGTAGTAGCCGTCACCGCACCTCTCACAGTGAGGCCCGGCTGTGTTGTCTCTGCAGTTGCAGACACCTGTTTGGAGAGCAGGTGTGAGGAAACAGGCAAGGGTGAGAGCAAGCAGGACAATGAGCATTTCCTGCCCAGCCGCTAAGGAGAACGTAGGTCTAGCAGCCCCCAAAGATCACCTCCTCACCTGTCTCGGGGTCACAGGTCTCACTGTGTCCATTGCAGGTACAAAGCACACATGGACTGTATGGCCCGAGGCTCGGAGTTTCTCTTCTGTAACCCGAGAGGCACGACTCACAAAACTGCCCTCTGTAGCCCACGGGACAGGTGCAGGACTCCACCCAAGCTGCAGGGACCCCGGGCCCAGGGCGAGCACTGGCCAGGGTGACGTCATCCAAATACCCAGCACCTGTGTATGGCGTAGAAAAGAGGACACTGAACTGGCTTCCGTCTTCCAAAAGCTCACGAAAAGTCAGTAATGCTAAAGAGTGTCAGAGCCAATCAGCCATTAGTTTAATGCATTTACTGAAGGAGACAACCAGAAACTGCATTTAGGACAATCAGGTGGTACTCGGTGCCAAGCATGTGGAACGGCGGCCCAGTACATCTGCATTTTTTAAGCACATGCGCACGCATGTACACACACACGGAGATGTGTTGGATTTTACAGTTCTCTCAGTCACCAATGTGAAAAATGAAAAGCATTAGGCAGTAATCTGGGGCAGGAAGAGACAAAAGAAGAATGTGGGAACAAGAAGGGTTTCGGGCTGTAGCCATGAAGCCATGTTTTTGTTCTCTTTGCCACAAAGCAGGCACTGACTGCAGAGTTCAGGGTAAGAAAGCAGGAGAAGCACTTGTCGACCGGAACCACTCGGTCATGCTCTTGGCTCTGCATAAAGCCACAAAGATACGTAGCCAAGTTCTGATAACCAGGGCTACTTTGGCAAATACATAATTACCACAACGCCATTATGCCGTGTATCACAATGCTTTCCCGTTTCCAAAAGAAGGTAAAATAGAGAAAGCCATATACTGGCTTAGCCCAGCGGCTCCTCCAGCCTGACAGGGCACGTGACAGGCTCGGCAGCAGCGCCCCATGCAGGCGGCAGGTTTGATTGTATCACCACAGGTCCCCTTCATTTCCCTCCCACCCCTGTCTCTTGCAGTCTTACCTCCAAGTGTATTTCCCCACATTATGAAATATCACTTGCTAATTACGCAATTCGTAGAAATTGACAACCTGAGGCCAAAGGACATCTCCTTCATGACTACCCTGAACTTAGTTAACTTTTAATATATTTATGGGCTTTTTTCAGCCATTAGATCATGAGATAACTCTCCACTGGTTAATGCACTTTCAACTCTAAACACTACGTCTCTATGCCCTAAAGGTAGTCTTCAGTCTTGTGCCTACTCCCGAATTACAGCCCATCTCTTTTCCTTCCCTTCAGCCAAACTTCTTAAAAGAAAAACCTTTATTTTACATCTTCACCTTCAAACTTATCAAAACACTGCAATCTGACTTCAGTTTCAATACTTTTTTTTGGTCATATTTTCAAGTTTAAAGATTATTGCCCTTACACTGACAACCTTCAATTCCAGACCTCCAGTCCTGACATCTTCTTAAGCCCCATCCATATTTCTAACTATTTATAAGACATTTTCATCTGGACATCCACGTAGGCATCTCAAAAAACAACACATGCAAGCTGTGATGCCATTTCCAATGTCACACCACCATCCTGACTCCTCTCCCCCAGAGAGCTGCACCTTTCTACAGAAAAAGGTCTTCATTAAAAAAAATTTATAGGAGGAAGAAATCTTTAAAGGCACATTTAAAAATAACTTTGTTTCTCTAAAATTATAACAAATGTTCATTCAGTACTTTTTAATTTTTCATAATCGAGACAATTTAGTTGAAAGGGCTTGGTAATTTACACAGCAAGGAACAAAAAAATGAGAGCCAGCAGAATTCTATTTGGGAGTCTTAGAAGAATCAATTTATATATCATGCAACCTCAATAGGGCTTATTCACTACAAAACAACACTATTTATTAATTTTGGCTCATTTTCTCCAGGTCCTTAGAAGTAGTTTAAAAATGCCTTATTTCTTATACACATTTCACATATAACGAAGACATTTATACCACTTCTACAGGATCAGAGTTACAGTATTAGGACTTCAGAGGTAAACTTTTGATTATGGATCCTCCTACTTAACCATCATCCTAAACAATTCTCCTAAATCATATCATAACTTACTTCTCTCATTGTACGTCCCACGGATCTTGATGGAGGTCAAATTGTTCAGGAGTTTCTGAAACTCGAAAGGGGTAAGAGTAGGCCTCCAAGGGTAATCTGCTGCTTCGTGGAGCCTGGAGAGGAGGGGTGGCCACGTTAATGTCTGTGAAGACAATTCTGAGAAGTGAGAAAGCAAGTCTCACTCGTTTCTGCCACCAACGCCTTGCTCTGCCAATCTAACCAGGGCAGCAATGCGTCTGTTGTTTTCACAGTACAACTGGAAAGGGCAGACTGCCTTTCACAAAGTCACTTTGGGAACCCAGAAGTTTCTCCTCAATATACACCTTGAGGCCTGATGAGCTTGGATAAAGAAACCACTTTTAAAACTCTGGTCAAGTCAGATTTTACAAACAAAAAACTGTCCTACCTGAAGACGTATTTCACGGCGGTCTCGCTCGGATAGGAATTGCCCTGAGCGATCAGGGGCACAGACACTCTCAGGCCAGCTCCCTCAAGCACGAGGTCTTCTGCGGAGAGGCGAGTGTCTCGCCTGTCCACGCGAAAGGAGAAGGAGAGATTCTGACCATAACTCAACACCTGCTTGCCCAAGAACTTCGCTGCAAGGCAGACAAACGGGGAGCGGGAACGTGAGACTGAAATAGACAGGCGCACACCCCAAGCCAGCGCCCGCCCTAGCCGTACTTACCAGGAGCAATGAAGTACCTAGGAAAGTAGCTGTCTGAGATGACAGCGATGTCCTGCCTCTCTGAGGACCACTCCAGTGATGCTTCAGAGCCATCCCTTTGCTCGGCACGCCACCCATCCTCGTCTGCAAGGAGAGGATGAAAACACAGGTGCCATTACTTTGTAAACATCCTGAATTCCAGTCCTCTGTGTACCACAAAATATATACAGAAAGTCATCAACAAAGGTTTTTGAATAAATGGAGGCTACAAGAGTATCTACATATGCTGTACCCTTTGAGCTGTATTTTGCTTTATTTTATACATTTATACTCACTATGGTAAATTCTAAAATCATTTATATATGTTTTCATTAAATTAGAAAGCCATACAAGAAAAACCATGTACATTAAAAACCAAAATGTTGACACCTTCCAAAAATCCTCAGAGTTACTGATTTTTTTAAACACTGTAAGTCTAGACGGACAATTCCAGGGGAGAAGGAGAGGTCTACGTTACCAATCTGAAAGGTAGAAGTTATGGCGTAAACACTGTAGCCGACGGCATTTGTGCAGACAGAAGAATGCCCGAAGCAGAAGCAGGGTGTGCAACCCCTAGGATTAGATGATTCCAGATTAAAAAATCCAGGTTTGCATCTGAAAAAGATGAAGACACAATCAGTGCTTTGGGCACTTGAAATATGCTAACAGAGAGAACACAACACAGCTAGAGAAATGCGCTACCTCTCACAATTGAAGCCTTCGACATTGTCTTTGCAAACACATCTTCCCGTCTCAACGTTACACTCATCTGTGCTGCCGGAAGGATTGCAGGCACATGGCCTATTGGACAGAAAATGGAGAAAAACAGTGAAAGAAGAGGAAAGATAAAGGAAGTCCACTCTTACAGTCAATCTTTTGTTTTGCCTGTTAATAGATTTTTTTTAAGGAATACATAAAAGCAAAATGAATCCTAAAGTTACTTTTATATTTGGATTTGGTTTCAATCAAGGATACCCATCACATTTAGACATTGAAAACTCCGCTTAATCTCTGTACAAACAATCCTGGCTCATCATTTACAGCTAGAAGAAAACTTAAAATTTGGTGACAATTATTATGGAGGGAAATGTTCATACTGCTGCAAGTAAGCCTCAAGAGCTATTAAGAATCAGCTCCATTTGGAGTCTGCCCCCTTCCTCTGGTTTTGAACAATCTTACCTGCACCCGGCCTCGGTGAGAGAGTGGTACCCAGGCTGGCAACGGTCACACTTGTCACCCATCACTCCTGGCTTACAGCTACATCGGCCATAGCTATCACACTGTGTGCTGAGAGATCCTGGGATTTAAAGAGCTCCTTGTTAACTAGATATGTAAATAAAATTAATGCCTCAAAGAAAGAAAACTGGTAACTAAAAACAATACCTGAAAACCAGTATGTAGACTGGTTTTCAATATCTAGATGGTTACCAAGAGAACAAAGGTCAAATTTTAAATCATAGCTCTCTCAAAATCATACCCCTCTTTTTAAAATTGAAGTATAGTTGATTTAAAATGTTGTGTTAGTTTCTGGTGTACAGCAGAGTGATTCAGTTATACACACATATTCTTTTTCATATTCTTTTTCATTATAGGTATTACAAGATATTGAATATAGTTCCCTGTGCTACACAGTAGGACTCTGGTGTTTATCTATTTTATATATAGTAGTTAGTATCTGTGAATCCCAAAGTCCTAATTTATCCTCACCCCTTCCCCTTTGGTAACCATAAATTTGTTTTCTATGTCTGTGAGTTTCTGTTTTGTAAATAAGTTCATTTGAATCTTTTTTTTAGATTCCATATATGAGCGATATTATAAAAATCATACCCCTTTAAACCATGACATTTAAACTTTTCAGACATGTGCCTTAAGATGAATCTACTCATAATTGTTGAAAAACGCTAACTAACTAACACCCTGTATCCAGTGATAAACTACACACAGAACCAGTCACTGCTTCGTGGACACAGACTCCTCATGGCCTGTGTGTAGATTTAAGGATATACAGGCATGAATGACAAAAATAAAGTTAAAACTCTTGAAAAGCAGAATGGACTAAGAGAACTCTGCTTCTCTGAACACCACCAATGGGCTGAAAAAAGTTCAGCCCTCCAAGGAGGTTAGACTAAACAAAATCAGTCACAAGGAAGAACTCACGAAGCAGCTCACCTTTTACAGCCAAAGTTCAAATGGCCTCTGTGATCTTACTGCTAATTATTTACACAACCGTTACTCAGGCCAACCCTTTCATAAACACCAGAAAGTCATCTGAAAGCTTGACTTAGTTAAAGAGAGTGGAGGCAGATCTGAACCACTGACATGTTATGCGATGTGCACTCTTCCGTCCTTAACCTGTGCAAACCCCCAGGAAACAAAGCTCTATTTCCTGAGGGCACAGAGAATGCTTATTTTGTCTTCCCCCTATCAGGCGGAAGCAGACGCTGCCTGTCACTTACCAACAGGACTACAGTGGCAGGGAGAGCAGGCTTCCCGGCTCCCAAGGCGGAAGAAGTTCTCCCGGCACCTCTCACAGTTGGCTCCATCTGTGTTATCCTGGCAGTTGGTACAGTGGCCGCCGTGGCCAGTGGAACGGTACAGCTCAGGGTCAAAGTAGCACTCTTGCGATCGGCCATTGCAGTCACAGGCTGTTGACCAAAACACCAAGTTAAATCAGGTCCATGTTCCTACACAAACGGCATTTTAAAGACACTCAAAGAAAACCGAACCGTAATTTCCCACACCTCTGTGACGGAGAGTAAGGACGAGCACCAGGTGCACTCTTCATCAGAAAACAAAACCAGCAGCATGTCTGTCAGCAAAGGGTTTGTACAGCCAGGTTACTGGCCTCCCAAGAAATACTCATCCTTATCAAAAGACAGCACCACCATAAACCACGAGGAATTCTTGTACTTAGAAAAGAATCTCCAGATAGTTGTACGTATACAAGAAAGAGCCAAGCCAGCTTACGATTTTTCTGAATCTTTATCCCTCATTCCAATGCCAAGTCCAAGCGCAAGGGGCCAATTTATACGCAGGCTTCAATTTATCTTAACTTTTCAGGGCTCAGACAATTCAAATGCATTAGATATGAACTCCTGGCCTAGACTGGGGTAATCTGAGACACGTGGGTTAAAATTAGTGCCTCTGTGGACGGAAGCAGAACTGAAGGGAACTCTCTACCTGCTAGGTACGCCCACCCACCGGGAAGCCACAATGCCAAATGGGTCACCTGCTAAGTGACTCTATTCCATACAGGGAGGGCACAACCATATTTCAAGAAGAAGTACCTGTGGTCACTGAATTTCTTTATTATGTTTACATTAAGATGATTTTCTTCAAATTACTGATTCTGCCCCCAAGTACAGGCAGTATCTTGAGCACTAAATAAAAATAAAATTTTATTTGATTTCAGACAGAGCAGGAAGTTGTTGCTTTTAAAAAAATGTTTGAATATACGTATTTTTCCCCTTCCTTCGTTTACAATCAATTCTTTCGTAGCATTGCATTTGAAAACTTTTTAGAAACTTGAATCACTGGCACCAAGAATTAGGGTGGTGTTAAGTAACTTTTAAAGCTCCCTTTTCCTTCTTTAGTAGCTCCGTCTCTGTTTAAGCTTCCCTAGAGTATCTCGCCACCAGCACAGCCCATCACACCTACGTGGTCTGGTGCCTGGAAACCATGAGGACGAACAGTTCCCACGGCTGCACTGCCCTAACCCACCATTAGAGCAGGTGCCGTGGCTCCCGCCCCAGCTGGTAAGAGAGAGGCAGCTGTCGTTTTTCCTTCCCTAGCCCCAGCATCCTGACATACTCCAGAAACTGCACGCTTTGAGGGGTCACGGTGCTGAAGGGACCAAAGAGGAAAGCAAACTGGCTTAGCTCCTCATCAAAGCCCGTTAGCTGCTATATTCAGTTCATTTGCTAATGAGAAGCTGGCAATATGTTACACCTGTTTTTCCCATGATGTTCCCATGATGTTCCTGGACAGACTCAAAATATGACATCATTGAACAGATTACTTTCCAAGCACACGTGTACATTTATGCAAATGTCACGTCTCAGGAGTATTTCATTCTTTCTTTTATCAGCGTTTATCATGAAGCTTCCAACAGTGGATACTACAGTTCAGTAAAAGAATTAAAGATTCAAGGAAGTGCTTAGGAATGCCAGGGGAGGCTATAAAATTTATCTGAAAATCAGGGACTTGTTAAGAAAAGAAGAGATGAACGAGAAAATCTGCTGTAGGAAGCTCACAGAAACAGTCATGAGTCACGACACTGGTCCTTTCTCCAGGTTTCTGTCAATAATTCCTGCAAGTTCAGAGTGTCTTCCTCCTTATTCCCTTTATAACCAGGAGAGTGTGATGAGGAATATTTATAAGGACATAAGAAAATTACAGATGCTTTATTTTTAAGTCCTTGGCAAATCATGATGACATGGTTTCACAGTTTTTCTCCTGAGACTCCTCTCTCTTCAGAATAAACCAAGACATTATGAAGGAATACACGCGGCGTACTATTTTTCATTTTACCCTTTCCTAGGAACACTAGGCTCTGCTCTTCCTCTCAAAGCCACCCACCTCTGCATGAGGAAGTGGGAAAACCCTCCCCCGCTGTGCTCTTCAGTGAGATAGAGAAAAAGTAACTTTGATAACTAATCTTTTGAAGGCAGTCTTGGTCTAGAACTCATCATACTTGACGCGTGTGAATCGACAACCTGGTTGCTTGAGTAAATGAGCATCGGTAGGAAGAAGAATATTTTAAAAAAGGGCAAGAAAGACAAGACTAGAGACACTGTACTGCAGAGCAGGCTACACCGGCCCGGGGTTTGGATCTAAGCAAAAGGCCGAACCTTGAAGATGCTGCTCCCTTCTCTGTGATGCGTTTTCAAGAAGAAAATATAAAACCAGCAGTTTATGTTTATGGACAGTTGCGTGCAGCTTGTTGTTTTATGCTCTCAAATTATGGAAGAAGCACGGCCTTTCAGACTTTTCCTTTCAAGGAGGAAACAAAGAAAGTCACCCACTCCTTCTCCCACCCCTGGACATCCTCAAGACAATCTAGCAGGTGGACGCCAAGGGGCACTCACGCAGGCATTCGCTGGCACTCTCCGCAGTCGCCCTCCTCCAGGGCCGGTCATTGAAGAAGGGGAGACACTTTTCACAGTCCACCCCGTAAGTGTTATGTTTGCAGTTACACACCAGCTTGTCAAACTCGTTCTTCACACACTCACTTGCGTGTCCGTTACACTTACACCTGAGGAGAGAAGAGACACTCAAAAGAATGAAACAAACAAACAAAAAGAATGAAACAGCTACAAAGTCCCCGAAATGAACACAGAAAAAGGATGTACACAGAGAACTAAAAACCACCTCAGAACGGTTTTGAGTTTACCATTCAGAACGGGAAACTGACAAGATTAAGTAGTGGTTGTGTGTTTTCCTATATGAAGAAAAATTAAACAAGACCAAAAAAGGTAGCTTTATTTAACAAGGGACAGGGCATTAACCAGACATGAGAAGCAAGTCCCTAAGGTCACCTGTAGGATCACATCCTGAAGTGCAATGTGTGTCTCCAGAGGCAGCCAAGGGCGGTGGTTAGGAAAGCATGGACTCTGAGGCCAGGCTGCCTGGGTCTGAAACCCTGCGCTGTGACTGACTGAACTGACTTAGCCTCTGCGCCTTACCTGTAGACTTGACATGACAAGAATGTCTATTTCAGAGTTACTGAAAAGATCAAGAGCTTGCTCTATTTAATGCTTAGGACTGCACGGGCATATGACAAGCCAAGAAATGTCAGCAGTTATCTGCCATCATGATACTACAGTGTTCTGATCTGAGGGTAGATCACCGCCATGTGGATCTCTGATAGACTGATAATCCCTCCGGTTGTCTGGGGCGAGAATCCTTGGGGGACCCCTCCAGATGCAGGTACCACCATACACCACGGACGCGTGGAAATCCCCATGCGCTCCGGATGCAGTTTTAAAAGGGACTGTTTCTTTACTCTCCTTTTCTGATATTTCATTGTTAGTGCAAAGAAATGCCACTGATTTTCTGTATGTTGATCTTGTATCCTGCTACCTTGCCGAATTCTTTTATCAGCTCTAGCAGTTTTTGTGTGGAGCCTTTAGGGGTTTCTATATATAGCATCATGACATCCACATATAATGACAGTTTTACCTCTTCTCTTCCAATTTGGGTTCCTTTTATTTCTTTTCCTTGTCCGATTGCTATGGCTAGGACTTCCACCACTATATAGGGCAGAAGTGGTGAGAGGGGACATCCCTGTCTTGTTCCGTGAGGATTTCAGGGTGAAGGCTTGCAGCTTCCCACCACTGAGTGTTATGCTGGCTGCAGGTTTGTCATAAACAGCTTTTATTATGTTGGGATACTAACATGCACTCTGATGTACTGCCGTTTTCCTCACCTGCCTCTGTACCAGTAGCAATCAGTTCCACAGCTTCAACTACCACCTAACACCACACTCAAATCCTCCCCAAACATCCACGGTGGACCAGGATGAACCCTAAATCTGTATCTCTGGCTCTCACTTTTCTTCCAAGCTCCCGTCCTTGACTGCTGCACACATTTAGATGTTCTCCAAGCCCTAAAGCTTTACATTCTGCAGCTAAGCTCACCATCTCCCCAAATGGGCTTACCTTCCTGATTTACTCTGCTGATGGTGCCGCCACGTTCCTGATCCCTAAACCTCAAAATCACCTTTGACTAAAGTTCTAATTATTCTTCCTTCACAATAAAATGCACCTAAGTGTTCCTTTCCATTCTGCTGTCACCACCCTAGTGTCAGATATTTGTCACCCCAGACCTAGATCACAGCATGACAACAGGAATATAAATTCTCTTGATCGTGTTCCACCTTCACCTTGTCTGCTGCTAACCTTCCTAATAAACTACTGTTTTAATATCATAGCCCTACTCCAGAAAAGTACATGACTCCACACTGGGTACAGTTCCCATTAACTTTCACTAAACATCAGTCCCACACAGGAAAAGGAATGTTCCTGCTCTTGAGACCTCACAATCTAATAATACAAGGGGAGGCAAGTCCAAGGTCCTTGGCCTGCTGTCTGCGGTCTGCGACTGCCGAACTTTCCCTCTGGCTTACAGCTCTGCAAATTCATGTAAGATTTTCCTGAAGTCAAGAAGGTTTGCACTCTTTTAACGTTACGTTTTGGTCATGACATGCTCATCTTTCTGCACCAAACCCCGCTGTCCTCCCTCCTTATCTAAATCCTACCCATTCTTCAAGACCCAGCTTAGATCCTGTCTGCTTCTCTAACCGGACATTCTGTGATGTTCTTGGACACATGGCCTCTTTTAATCTAAAATACTATGACTGTACTAGTATTTAACTTTTCACACACTCATGCATCGCCTGCCCCGTTCATTCATCTGTAGGATCCTGGAAGGCCAGGTCTTTCTCAGCAGGTGACTGTCAGTCTTACACTTCCTCGGTAGCTTCACAGTGCGTATCACACAGCTTTGCACTTAAATGCTCAATAAGAATTCACTAAGTGTGTTGACTGGACAAGGTTTTAGAAAACCTAATTACTTTGTCTCCAGGATAATGCGGTCTAACAACATTACTAAAATGGTTGTTAACAAGATTCTACCAAACCAAAGCTCCAAACATTTTGAAGGTTATTTAATGGTTTACTTACCTACCACCCACAGCAAAATCAGAGATTGCATAATAATAGGATTTGAGAACTTTGGGGTCGTTAAACACTTCATCTCCAAAAGTGTTCAGGCGATTGAGAGTTACTCTGATGTCAGTGGCAGTGACCCATTCCTGCCAGGAAACAAAAACACAGAAAAGGGAGATAAAGGCACTGAAGAGGAGAGATATAAATGTGCCACAATCTTCTAAGTAGCTAGGGCATCATTTAATTATATCCTCTTGTGGCGTGAAATCTATTCTAACACTCGAGGACTCCTTTAGTTCCCTAATATTTTCCTCCTCTTGATTCTTCCTTTCTGTGATCTAAGTTTGTTACTTTATCACTCAGAGCCCTCCCCGAGGCAGGAATAATACTAGTTTCCTCACAAGGTTACAGAGAGACTGAAGTGAAATAAACTTTTTTTTTTAATTAAAAAAATTCAGGGGGGATGTAAATAGGTTCATCTATTTATTTATTACTTTTGGTGGAGGTACTGGTGAAATAGACTTTTTAAAAATTTTTATTATTCTTAAAAATTTTTTTAGAAATATACTTTTAAATGCTTAACATACATTAGGTCCTCAATACACATGTCCCACCTCCCCACTCGAGTCCACACCCCAAAGCCAGTCACGAGACACCATCAGAGGACGTGCAGTGCCACAACTGCCATACGCTGGTCACTGCTTCCTCCTGCCGGTTCCATACCACCTCTCTCTCCCTCCACTTCCAGTCCACTCCCGACAGAGCTGGGAGACACACCCAAGTACAAAGCAATAAGTCATTACGCTGGCCTGAACCAACGAGGCGCACTCTTGGTCTTGACTCTGCCCACAATGTCACTTCTCGCGAGACCTTCTCTGGCCGCCCTACGTAAAACCGCCCTCCCCGCAACCCCCTGTTCCCCTTCCCTGTTTATTTAAGTTGCCTGCTTCCATCGGCACTACCCCCCAACCCACCACCACCTGATCAGAAGCCCCACAGGGGAGCAATTTTTTGTTTTGTTCATCACAGTCTGACTAGTGCTTAGCATATGGCTGGTGCTCGCATGACGTCTGCCAAGCCAATGAACAAATCTGAACAACCGGTCAAATCAAATCTGAACAACCGGTAGGTGTGCCCCGATGGCAAAAGACAAGAAGGAAGTCTGGGCCATCTTCCCCTGGGTTCTATGAGATCCAGGCACTTAGAATACACGCCCTTTCACTGAGCTAATTTCAGTCAGATGTTTACATCTGCGTTAGATTGTCATAATAATGATCCCAATGAATCAGGACTGCCAGTGTCCACACCCCGTGCAGTCCCTTTCCACATTGATTCTAGGCTTGGGGTGTGACTTACAGGCCAAGGAGACATCAGCAGAAGTGACAAGCGGAGGCTTGATAAGCACTTGTGCCCTGGGACTCACCCTCCTGGAGAACTTCCACCATCACATGAGGAAGCCTAGTCTCGTCCCCTCGGGGATGTAAGACCACAGGGAGAGAGAGAAAAACCCAGCTCCCAGCTGACCTGCCAGGGAGTGAGCCCAGGCCAACACAGTCATGAGAAACAATAAATCATGTATCTTAAAACCATTACGGTTTAGAGCGCTCTATTACACAGGGCCACCTAAAGACACCCTGCCCCCTTTAAGTCCTCTCCGGGGACTGCCTATCAGAATCGCCGACACGCAGAACAAGCCAGCGCAGAGGCGGCCGTCTGTGTTTTCAGAAGGCTTCACGTGAGCCCGGGAGGCACACCCCTGACCAGGAGTCACTGCCCGCACCGTGCCAAACACCTGCACACAGAGCAACACCGGGAGCTCACAGGGGCTAATCCCCACGAGGCCTCCACGGACAGTTAGAAAGGAGCAGAGACGACGATCTCACCGGACCCGCACTTGGGGCTCCAACGACAACGCCCACGCACGGCCACAACGGCAGGAGCCTTTCAGCTCTGTAATGTGAATGGCTAGACACGTCTCTGGGTTCAACGCTTACTGTACCTTCCACAGGCTTCCTCTCTATCACAGCTCTCCTTGAAACAAAAGCGTCTCAAGGGCTGAATCCAAGCCCCCTCCCCTTTATCATAACGGGCATCTTAAAAAGACTTTCTAGGCTTTCTAGATTTTTCTTAACTAGACTTTCTAGGTTTTGAATCCCAATTCTGTCACTTAAAACTGTGTGATTTGGGGCAAGTGATCTGATGTTTTCCAAGCCTCTGATTCTTCATCTGCAAAATGGAGATAATAAAAGTATCTGCCTTAACAGAGTTCTCGGGAGGGTTAAACGTGTTAATGTATCTAAAAGGCCTAGAACAATACTTGTCACATTGCAGCACGTGATGGCAAATGCTATATAAGTGCTAATATTCTTATAAATCACTACGTGCTTGGTGACATTCATATACCCTGAAACCAGGAAGGGGCTGCTGTCCCCGTCCAGGAGACCACACGCTCTAGAGGGAGGTAAAGGGGGCACCGGGGACAGAAGCCAACTGTCTCTGTCCTCACTGTCAGATCAGCTAACCCTCCTCGGCGACTGTGTATCGGGACCAGAGCTCTCACATCCAGAGACACATAATCAATGTTTCTGCATAACGATACCAACTGACCAAATCTATTACCGACGCTCACAGCCTTCTGCCACATTTAGTCTTATAAGTTTCTGGGGGATGAGGAGTAACTAACATCAGAATTCCCAGAGCTGGAAGAACGCTGCAGGGCAGGCTGACAAGGCGTGCGGTTAGCAAAGGGGCCAGAAAGCCACGGTCACAGTGTCGCCTCCCCACGTGTTCCTACTGACGATACTGTCCCCTCCCCAGGACAGTAAAACACAGCCATCTGTGTAGGAAGAATCAAAGCTAGAAAACGTGTGCTAGCTGATCAACTTAAAGAGTGTCTGTGGACCTCCTCTCCCCTAGGCAATCCACTCCCTGCTTTTCTATCGAAGTCGGTTATTCTTTCTGCCATTTATTTTGAACACATCTCACTGCCACTGAAAGAAAGATTCTTCCGAAAGGCCTTTGCAAACAGGCTGGATGCTCACCATAACCCTCAGAGTTTAATCAAGATAAGCCAAAATCAAGATTTACAATCTCCCAGCAAACTACAGAAATCCAGTGCAAATGAAGAACTGGACCCAGAGAGAAACACATTCTCATCCTGTCACTGTCCAAAGCCACAGGAGCAAATGAGAAAGAGAGTCCTTAAACATAAAAAGCCCCAAAGAGAAAGAATGAGAGGACACAAAGGCAGGAAGCCCAGAACAACAGGAGGACGCCTTACTTAGAAGTCATGCGCTTAGAAGCTTCTCACAAAATGCAAACCCACATCCAGCCTTTCTCGCCACGGTGAGTACAGGCTGCCCCCATTTGGATGTTAACTTCAGCCACGTGACAGAAGCATCTCCGGTTCTATGATAATGTGCTGAGTGTGGCGTGAGACTTATCAGCCTCTCCATAATCAAACAGCCAGAACATCAGAAAAGGTCCCAGACGTCTAAGCGATACAGAAAGATTCCAAATTATGGTGTATGAGGAATACGCACACAGAACTCATGAAAAAGAGAAAGCTTTCATTCTTTCTTTTGTCACAGAGGGAAAAGTTCGCCACTGTCCTTAAAATGAGTATCTCTCCTGTCACAAACACCAGTGCTCTTAGGTGACGAGGCGTTTTCATAGTGATTGACGACAGTGCCAGACAAACTCGAACAAAATTTCCTTGTACGATAGTGAAGAACGGCGGCGTTCTTAAACATCTTGCTTCAGTTGTTTCCTCTTGCTAATATTAAAAAAAGAAATCTTTTTGTCAAACCAAAGAAGAGGTAAGAAAGAATACGAAAAAACTGGGTTGATTCATTCAAACACTCTCCTTTAAAAGGAGAGTCAGAAGCAAAATGTTTCCACCGCAAGTACAGAGACTCAAGTTAAAATTGTTCAGCACTTGAAAAACGTTGGTGAAGTTTACGTCCCAGGATACACATACAAGTGCATGAAAGCATAAGAACAAACATCACCTGGGCAGCGAGAACACGATGACCTTCCTTCACTTACTAAGAGGACACGGGGGAGCAGAGCAAAGCCCCGCTGCCTGTCTCCCACACGCGGCCCTGACTTCAGCAGCGGGACCACAGGCCCCAGCACGGCGGTCTCCCTGCATGCTGCACGAGGAGGAGCTAACTGGCTACGTCGACTTCCGGGCGCCCACCTGCAGCACAGGGCTGTTGTCAAAGTTGTAGGCACTGGGCCTGCCTTCCAGGGTTGAGAAGGCCACGTTGCCCCCGGTGAGAGGGGAGATGTCGCTGAACTCGTCCGTGCACAAGGCCTGCTGCTCGTCCCCGCCCGTCCGGATGAAGCCGCGGCTGGGCTTGGCGTAGGTGCTCTCGCAGGAGCCGCTGTAGTACTGGTACGGGACCCAGGGGCCGTCCTCCCGCGTGCGCTTGTAGATGGCGAAGCTCTCCGGGCGGCTGGTGTGGAACTTGAGGCGCACGTATGTGATGTCGAAAGCCTTTCCTGTGGGACAAACACATCAGAGTTCCTAAGTCATGTGCATGAAGCAAAGAAACAGGATACGAACCACCCGTGCACACTGGACCAGTAAGGTGCCACGACACACAGGAGCACACGACACACTGGCTGTGTCCCGTGGGCTATGCGAGGCCTGGAAACGGTGCACGCTTTCCTGCAGAAATGGCAAGTTACAGTGGGTTCATAAGCTGGCTCGGAAAAGCCTGTTTACGATGTGTGTTGTTGAAATTTTGTTTGCCGTGAAAAACGGTAGCATGTATTAGATCTGCACTTACACTGTTAAAAAGAAAAGTGGATGAAAAGGTGCATTTATTCTTAATGCCGGTGCTTCAGCAAAAGCTCACTCAACAGATAGAAAGTATCTACTGGCTTTCTAATGAGTCCTCTGGGCACTTCCAAGATTTTTAAAAACTCATTTTTTCAACTCATTGTGATGTTACTTCTTGATGCAGGAAGAATGTCTTCAGTATTCTTCCTCTCATTTACCGGCTAAGAAAGAGCATCTGAGGAAGAGTAAAGGACAGTGACTGAGAGATGGGGCAGGGAGCAGAGGAGGAAAGAAAAAAAGAAAAAGTCCTGCAGTAGTTGAACAAAGAGATGAAAGAGAGACGAGAAAGGCAGTTTAAAGAAACTGTGCTCAGAACAGCATCTATGAGCGCTGAGCAGGGAATGACAGCAAAGGGGGGGCAGCCAGCGGGCTGTCGTCCCCCCGGAAGAAGAGCCACCGGATCAGACGGCTCCCCGAGGCAGCCAGAGCACAGAGCAGAGACGGCGGGGGCAGTGTGGTTGTCAGCCAGCATGCTTTCAGGTGGGTAAAAAAGATAACATGCAGCTGTTTTTAATCACCATTCACTCACACATTGGGTCTTTCTATCGCTGACAATGTCTACACTTTGCCACTTCTACGCTTCAGTAAAGATCACCGTTTGTCAACAGGTGTTTACTGGGCACAACTACATGCTAAGCCCCATGCTGTATACTTTAGGGGGCAGGGTGTGTTAGACATAAGGGGTCCTTGAACTCAGCGAGATTATAGTCTCTCCTGCCCAAGTGAATTACCTTCAAGGAAGAACCACCATCCAAGTGCACAGAAGAGGAACTCCTGCATGGGGCCATTCTCACTTCCTCACACCCACCCATCCCCAGGGGAGAAGGCGGGGTGCTCATGCGTGGCCTGGAATCTCCTGAGCGCTCTCCTCACTGCCCACCTGAGTCCCCTCTCCTCTCCTTCACTCCTTAATGCAAGACAGCACCTCTGGTTCTGTGCAGGGGGGCTGCTGCCGCCCCACTACTGGATCCAAGACTAAGTGGGTGAGTTCAGCTGGGGTGGGGGTGGGAGCAGAAAGCCCATGTAAGCCATGTGCCCAGGCTGTTCTTCAACCCAGTTTTAGCTCTAATACACCTGATACGATCAGCCATATCTGCCTCTACTTCACAGATGGTCCAGATCATAAACAAGGGGTTTGATGAACTGTCCCCCTATTCATGAAACACACTCACACACATAAGGTCTTGAACATAAAGGTGTATGGTATGATGGAAGGAACACAGGGCTGGGAACTGTGAGACCCAAATTCAGATCCTCGTTCTTTCAATGACTAGCTGCGTGACTTCTGCTCCATCATTTTCTCCTCTGTGAAAATGAGGGTGATTATCCCTGAGTCACCAATCTCCAAGAGTGGTTGGAGGGCAAACTAAGACCCCACATTTATTTAATTAATTCTAGAACTCTATACAAATACAAGGCACTATGATAGGAGGGTTCAGAAGAAAATTCCTCAACTAGGACTCTGAGTATGTTCACACATAAGTGCCTGATTGTACAAGGGACCACCTGCTACAGCTGCCAAAGAATGTAACACCAATCTGGATCTCCTTCCTACGATGCAGCACGACGCTCTGGCTGGACACAAGTCATGCAAATACAGCTTAGAACTCTCCTGTAAAAAGTAGGCAACTGTATCTCTTTACTGTGTCGAAGATGTAAGGACGTCACCTTTGAATGAGGGCGAGGCTATAACGCAGTATGTGTGGCATTCCAGAGACTATCTAAAACATTCTGGGATAATAAAACAATTCTGTTTCACTCCTGAGTAGGTGGCTCGGGATGTTCAAAGGCTTACACGCTAATCTGTGGATTACAGATTACCTCTGCTCTTCTATTCTCTGCCTACACTTCGGCCATCTCATTGTTCTTTAGCAACCCAGCCGACAGGAGAATGGATCAAAGGTGAGAAGGGGAAATGGATCAGGGTATCCTGTGTCCCAGACCAACATCTGCATCACAAAGCCACACTCTGAGAGAAACACATCTGTGGTCACTCGCTGTTGGCGCAGACACGGAGTGATGGGCGTCAGAACATCAGGAAAGCAACTCCGCTCGTGTGAAACTCTGAAGCAGCCTAGCCTGTTGGTCCTGGCCCTACCTCACCACGCCTCGTCACAGCTGCCTTTTTCCTGCTAACCCACAGCTACAGCTGAGAGAGGAAAAGGGCTCCGTGGCAGTCTGTAAAGGCGGCTCACACGTCCCACACAAGGTGGCCATGGGCGTGGCCTTCAGAGTTGCAGTCAATCCAGCAGTGGACACAGATCACTGCAATTTTGCGTGAGGACCACTGAGACAGGGGAAGGCCATGATGTTCTGGGAGCATGGAGGAAAGTCACCTAACCTAGATTTGTGAGGTCAAGAAACATGTTCTAGAGGAAGTGACACCTAAATCCAAGACCTGAGCAAGGCAGAGGAATTAGCTAAGCCAACAGAGGTCAGCTGTCCAGGCAGACGGAACACCATGTACAAAAGCCCCGAGGACACGGAGGAGTGGCCACTGGAGGAGTCAGAGCTGTGCAGCGCAGTCAGAACTGGAGAGGAGGGGTGGCAGACGAGCCAGCGGGCAAGCAGGGACAACAGGCCTGAGCCCGCATCGAACAGCAGCTTCACGTCCCCAGGCTGACGGCAAGTCCATGAAGGACTCACGGCAGGAAAGGCATGAGGAGGTCTGGTTTCTAGAAAGATCAGTCTGGCTACTGTGTGGAGATGAGACAGGACAGGACTAAAGGCGGGGAGAACAGTTAGGACGATGGGGCAGTAATTCTGGCCAGCAGTGGCTGAACTCAGAGCAGGGACTGCTGGACTGGAGGGAAATGCATGGACCGCGGCGAGACACAGTTATCAGACCGCCACAGTCATCTGGTAACTGACGGAGGGGCTGGGCCAGTGGGAGTCACTTCTGAAAGGCTTCTTTACTTCTCCCCTACTGGCATCCTGCTTCACTGTCAAAGCTCCTTTTACTCATTCCACAAGTGAAACAATTAAGAATAACATTCGGTTTCCAAGTTAAAAAAAATCAACCAGAGAGAAGCACTATGCACTGAAATTGATAACAAAGGAGGTTACGCAGGCCTGGAGGCAGGAGTGGAGGGCAGGATGGGGGCGTGAGTTTGATTTTGGACACACAAGTGTTCAGGTGTCTGTGGTCATCTGGACAAGAAAAAGTGTCTAGTAGGGAGTCGGATGTGAATGGTCTGAAGGCCCAAGAGACACAGAGTCAGAGACACAGATTTGGGATTCATTAGCCTGTGGATGCATACTGAAGATCTGGGTACGGCTGAGACCCACGAGGCAGGAGTGTTGAGTGAGCTGACTTTTGAGATCGTGCCGAGGAGCTTGAACCGTTAAGGCGCCGCTGAAAGATGACACTGTGAAGACCAGAGTGGGGAGGGCAAGCAGAAGAGCACAAGTATCACAGAAGCCAGGAGGGTCTCAAGGAGGAAAGAATCAATGGTGTTTAAATCTGCTAAGCGAGTCAAGTAACAGAATGGCGACAAAGTGTCCACTGACTTCAAGTCACACAGGGGCGCCGCTGTGCTCAGTGCGAGCGGTCCCCCGGGCAGGGATCGTGACGGGTGGGAACTGAGGATGCACAGCAGACAGGAGGTGGCGAGGTGGACACAGCGAGTGCAGCCAACCGCGTGTGACATCCAGCCAAACGGGAGAAGGGACGGGCGACAGCTGGAGGGGGCACTGGGGCAAGTGAAGGTTCCCTCTTCCTTTTTGTGGCAGGAGACCCAGGGCGGCGTTGCGCAGTCAGCAGAAAGGGAAAGACTGACTGCGGAAACGAACTTGGGGAACAAGGATGTGACTCAGGGCTGGTGAAAGGACTGGCCACGCATGGGAGGAAGGCGGCACCCTTGCTTTCTGCCCGGGTGGTGCAAATGCAAGTGACTTGGTCGGCTTTAAGGGATGGAAGTTGAAAGAGTGCTCACTGATGACTCAATTACTTTTCTGTGCCGTGAAAATCAAGGGCACCTGCTAAGGGTCTGGGGGCAAAGCCACGGGGGAACGTTAAACGGGGAATATCTGAAGAGACGGTAGAGACTAGCAGAGAGCTGCCTAGAGCGAAAGAAGGCCTGGGGGCAGGGGCGAGGCTGCCGAGAAGAGGGTGCGGACATCTTGGCGGAGGCGAGATTTTCTGCAGCAGCACTTAGCACCCCTTACAGGAGCAACGGAAGGACCGTGAGGCAGGGGGACTGAAGTTACCTCGAGGAATTTGGAATCTAATCTGAATAAATGAGGAAGCAAATACCAAAAAGAGAGTGAAAGAGCCAAGGCTCGAGCATTCTGTGCCACCTGGAACCACCTGAAACCATGTACAATCAAGAACTGAAAACCAAGAGTACTTTTCACGGCCCTGAACAGCCACAGCTGGGTCCTACCATGTGCTCTCTCACTCTCTCTCCAATCACTTCCACTTGATCTGTCCATCCTATGCACTTCACCGTTGACAAAGTGAGATCTAGTCAGATGGTAGCCGAATGGAAAACAGGACCAGGTCTCTTTTTAATCAGTCCAGAGACGCCTACTGCACTATCCTCACACCGTGCGGGCACGCAGAGGCAGACAGTAAGACGTTAAGGTAACGGAACCAAGACAAACAACTGAGGAAGTCAGTACGTGCACATCGGGGAAGCATCCCAGCAGCCAGACC